TAAAGATAGGGTTTATTAATCTTTGTAAACCAAATGCTCATTTGTGCTGTGCCAAACCAAATCTGCCATATGGTCTTAAGGACAGAATAATAACAAGAATGTGAATCATATCTCAGTTAACACAAATCTATTCTCTATTTAAATAACAGATTTACAAATTAAAAAAAACCCACTCTAAAGGACAGTAAGTCCTTTTCAAAACTACAGTGCTGCCAACACATCATTCTGAGTGGAAAGGAGAGAAAGTTCCACTACTCCTGTTACACCCCACTAAGTAAATCCAAGTGTGAAACACTCTTTGAAGTCAGTAGGCATGCTTTGCTTCAAATAATTCTGAGGGGATTTAGAAGCCAGATAGGATTAAAGTTTGGGAAGCAGGAGAATTTCAGCTCAAGCTTAAATGTAAATAATAGAAAACCATGATGGGAGGGGGGAGGGAAAGTTGACTTCAAACCAACGCTTGCTACAGGGGTAATCAGTCTTATTTGGAATTATTAGCAAAAAGAAAACTGAAGTTCAGAGTCATTCTCAATGTTTGCAAGGAAGAACTTCTGAAAGCTGTATGAAGCACCCTGAAATACGAAGCTCTAAAGAGTTTTAAATCAAGTGTTTTTAATCCAAATCAATTTGATATTTGGTGTTCCTCTGTGTCACTATTTGTCCGTGATCCATCTCAACCCCCACCCATCCCCATCACATGATAGCCTTGAATTTTAATCCTCCTGCTTCAACTCCCAGTTGTAGCTGGGATTTTAGGCCCGAACTGCAGGTCAGTTCCATAATTCTTAATAAAGGCATGGAAACCTTAAATTTGGCTTTGGAAGTTTTGCCTTGGATTTTCAGCTATTGTTAGTAAGGAATGTCAGCAGAAATCATATTAATCTAGACAGGTTCAGATTAGATGTTGTTTCCTGGTTTATTACCATCATCATCGTCATTATTATTACTATTATGGTTTCTTGAGACAGGGTTTCTGGCTGTCTTGGAACTCGATTTGTAGGTTAAACTGGTTTCAAATCCAGAGATCTGCCTGTCTCTGACTCCCAAATGCTGGAATTAAAGGTGTGGGACTCTAGCTAGATGTCCATCTCTGTATTCTAAGTAACTCAGCACTTCTGACTGATTACACTTTGCTTTCACCTTCTGTCCTCAACCGAATCCATAATAAGCTAGGGCCATAGCTCATATGTTCTTCCAGTGAAGTAGACTTAACTGAATTCTTCTTCCCTTTCTTCTTCTTTTTTGTTTTTCTAGACAGGTTTTCTGTGTATTTCTGGCTGTCCTGGAACTCATTCTGTAAACCAGACTGTCCTCTAACTCACACAGATCTGCCTGCCTCTGCCTCCTGAGTATTGGGGTTAAAGGCATGTTGCACCACACCTGGCTATTTAACTGAATTCTATCTGACGATTTTAGCTACATTTTGGGAAGGGTAGGCACACACACAAGTAGACTTCAAGATCTAGAAGCATTCATATATGATGATTTGCCTATGTGACCACAGTTCCTGTAAAGACCATTAGAAACAAAGATTTTACTAGGCAGTCTACTTAATTATAGGCATATAATTATTCCTGTCTACCTGTAGTGTCTACCTAACTAAAAAAAAATTAAGAATAATATTTGGGAGACTAACTTTTATCTAAATAAATCGGGATAGCTGGAGACACTGGAGATGGTTATTTTGAGTCATATTTAATTTCCCTTAAGTAACTTAGAAGCATTTATAAGCAGCTCTATATTCCCATGTTATATTTGCCTCTTCTTTCATGCACATGTAGCCACAGTGATTATACTAACCACCATGTTTTAAGCCACACAGTGAGCAGTGAGTAAGGAGTCTCCAGTATAACAGCACAACAGATTTAATGCAGGCAGTGCCTTAGTTTCTGCCTTTAGGGTGTCTGAAGAAGAGAATAAATGCTATTTTCAATACACAAACTGTTTGAAGATTAGACGTGAGGGCTTTAAAAAATTCACTCTGGGATCCAATTTGAGATTCAGCTGCTCTTCAGTGTACAACAGTGTTTTCCAGTCTTGCTTCTGAAAAGGTATAGAAAGTAGCAGAGTGTAGCAACACAGAGCTGAAAGAAACCTGCCCAGGGGTCAAGAAGAAGTGTGAATGCCCTGACAATGGCTTTGGTTTCTAAAGGAACTGATTTGGTTGACTTGGATACCAAGTTCTAAACAGCTTGAGAATGGAGGAACATGCCCAGTTATTAGAAAATAAAATGTGTCTGCTCCTAATATTTTACTGATAATAAAATGGGAGAGGTTTATTTTAATTGTATCCCAAAAGAAAGCACTTACATTTCCTATGTGACAAACTACTGTTTTAACTTTAAAATGTATTTTGAAGCTCTTTTTACATGCTTATAGTCATACATGCTCCACAAGATGAAGTCATCTGGGGGGAGGAAGCCTCGTTAAGAAAATGCTCCCATAAGGTCAGGTTGTAGGCAAGCCTATAAGGCATTTTCTTAGTTAATGATTGATGGGAGAGTGCCCAGCCCATTGTGGATGCTTCCATCCTTGGGCTGGTGGTCTGGGGATCTATAAGAAAGCGGGCTGAGCAAGCCATTGAGGGCAAGCCATGACCTCCATGACCTCCATATCAGCTCCTGCCTCCAGGTTCCTGCCGGGTCTGAGTTCCTGTTCCGACTTCCTTTTACGATGAACAGTGATATGGAAGTATAAGCCAAATAAACCCTGTGCTCCCCAACTTGCTCTTTGGTTACAGTATTTGGCCCAAGCAAAAGCAACCCTGACTGATAGGTGTCCTATTCTGTCATTCTGCCTGGGCCTTTCAGACAGGATTTTCCTGCACTTGGAGCTACACTGGTGGCCAGCAAGCCTAGTAGTCCTCCTGCTTCTACCCTGCACCCCAGTATTGGGGTTCCAGGCACACATGCAACCATGCCTGGGTTTTTATTTGGGTACTGGGCTCCAAAGGCATGTCCTCATGCCCAGTATTTTGCCACTTTAAAAGAGGAATTGGATCTGTAAGAACCAGAATTAGATTTCTAGTGTACACTACTAAACCTTATGTATATAGACACATTCATAAATAAATCTGTAAATAAAACTTAAATCTTTTGATCAAATATCACAGTGTTTTAATGAACCCAAGGTATCCAGTAAACAAAGTTGAACACCCCCCACCTTGCCCATTACTGTAGTAAACATTCCTGAACTTACCTGTTAAATCGTACTCACTTGTATCTGAAAATGAATTTAAGGTAAATACTTAGTAAAGTTGCAGCCCAGTCAATTCCATTTTTAATTTTAATGCATAGTAACAAATGGCCCTCCTCACAGGTTGTATCATTTCAGTCTCTATGCCATACAGCATTTCCTTGGGGCTCAACCTAATGTTAGTGACACAGATGCAAATTCCTAGAAACACATGTACTTTCAACTAAAGCCTTTTAATGGAAAAAATACCAAATGAGCTCTGAAAAAAAAATCCCTTTGACCTTTCAGATTTCTGGGAACATCCTTTTTCCAAAGACAAATAATTGTTCCTCCTGTCCAGCGTTTTGGAACTCAGCCAAAATTCATGGCTAACTGCTTCTTTTGTATAGTCTAATAATAAAACATACAGACATCGTAGCCTTTTTGTAAACAAATAAATTACTCAATTTTTATTAGTTGCAAATAATTGTTTAAAAGCTTTGCAGATACCACGTAGAATGTCCCTTCAAAGCAAACAGGTAGCAATGCTTGAACTTCATTCCATCACTCAGACTCACCCAAGGATTCCGTGGCCTATTGACATTAAAATAAGAAAAGTAACCTACGTGCAGAAAGGAGGTTTCATTCCATTAACATTCATGAGGGCTGAACAGCTGAAGCCCTACACACCAAGGACGAATATATCCTTTGTCTCCTGATGAGAAAATGTCTCCGTGATAAATGGGTACAGACAGCGGTGTCACAAGGGCAACAGAACAGCTCCTGCTAACTTTTTTTTTTTTTTTTTTTTTTCGTTTTTCTTTGCCTAGAGGTCTTTGTAGCATTGTTCAGCACAGTGTCTATCTTTTCAAATAAAAGGCTCTTATTGCAATGTAAGTAAAAATCCCCAACCCTTGAAAGAGACACTTACCAGAAAAACCTAACAACCAACCAAACAAAAAACCCTTTAGAAAGGGTTTGGAACGGTGTCCCAAAAGCTTCATAAGGAATAAATATTCAGACTGTAAAGAGAAATGAGGTACATCCAGTGTTGAAGTAAGGTGGACCTAAATGGTAAGTAGTCAACACAAAATCCCAGGCACATTATTACAATGCCGAATAGTTATTTGCATAAATACAAACACTTCATCTACTCCTTTAGTAAGTTTGTGATAAAAATCAAGTCGGAATACATGGGGTTCTTATTTCCCTGTCATCAGATAGTGCAACATTGACTATCAGTGTTAATTTTCAAATCCGAGGAGGTTAGTTACAAGTTGTTGACAACTTTGTCCCATTCAGTGTGTAGCTAGCTCCAGGGCAAACGCTTCCCAGGCTTGGCTCTAGATGGCTCACTCTGCTCACCTACCGACCCAAGACAGCTCCCAACCAACCCAGCACTCTGCCTGTCGTGCTGCCCTAAGGGCTCATAGCTCGATTTCAAAAAACAGGAACGTTAACACTGTCCTTGTGCTTTCGTCTGCCCCACCGGGAAGAAAGTTCCAGATACCGAGCTAGGAGAAATGCATAGCGGCTCTCCGTCGACCCTCACCCTGCCCTCTCCTGGTCTTTCTTTACTTGGGTGGCGGGGATGGGCTCGCCTGATCGGCAGTCAGCAGGGATCCAACCGGGCTGGGAGCCCCCGAGGGGGCGGGGCTGGGGGCGGGGCCTCGTCAGACCCCGCCCCAGCAGCGTCGGCGCGCCTGCGTGCTAGCGTGGGCCTGCGGTTGGCCGCCGGGGTTCTGGGCTGCCCGCCCCCGCCCGCGCCCTCGCACCTCCGCCTACTCTACGCGATGACGTGCCACAGGTTTGCGGACGTGGCGGCGGCTGTCGGTCCGGAAGGCGGGGACGGCGACGAGACGGTGGCAGAGACGCAGCAGGGACAGCAGAGAACCTGGAGTCGGCCATGAGCTTCCCCGGGGCCGCGGCTGTGGTGGCCGACCTGACCGTGTCGCCGCGCCCCTGCTAGAGGACAGGTGACGGCGGCTGGGGGCGGGGCGGGCCGGGACGTCGTCGGGGTCACCGCGGGGCTGCCCCCCGGTTCGGGAAGGACGCTAGCCTCTCGGTTCCGGGCAGCCCTTTCCGCGCCAGGCTGTCCCCTTGTCATCTGCCCCTCGGCGTCCCAGTCTGATGCTGAGACTTGTGAATCAGAGATATAATCCTCGAAGGGGACGGCCGGAGGAAAAGGAGAAGATAAAAATAAACGAGTGGAATGGACAGGCAGGAAGTTTTGTAGTTGTTGCTTTGGTTTAAAGTTGGCCTCGGGGTGATTCTGTCCCGAGTGCTGAACTGGCTTGTGCCCTAGGGAGTGGTCTGTCGCTCCCTGCCTAAGGTCTAGACCGAACACCCAGTAGCAGTTACTATGTAGCACCTAGGGGTTTGGGAAGTCGCCGAGCGGATGAAAACATGCTCCCTGCATCCCTTGATGATCACTTTCGGGCCGTTTGCCAGTGGTGCAGCATGCAACTTGTTCTAGTTTTACGAATTCAGATTCCATAGAGAATTTAGAGACGTAAAGAGAATTGAGCCCGATGACTCAGATACTGAGTACTTTCTAATCTTTAGTAGTTTGATGATATCATCTGCCTGGACCAAAGTGTAGCTTGGTACTTGGATTACACAGGGGCACAGCCAATACCTGGCTATTCAGACAGGAGTGTCCAGGTTGTGTATTCCATTTCCCTGTCATTTTAGAGGAAGAGACTCAGCTATGTCAAGGTGCGATTCCCAGTTAGGAACCTATCATGACGAAAAAGATAAGTGTAAGTAAATTTTGTTTCAAACGGCTTTTAGGCGTTACTCGATGGATTTTAGATAGCTGTACAAAGAATGTCAGGGAGCAAGCTTTATAGGGACAGCGTACTTAGGACAACAGGACCATCTACACATTGCTCTATGTTGAATCTTTTCTGGTCATGGATGGCTTTTGAGAATACGAAACAGATACTTCCCCATGTAGTACACGTATTTATACCACTTCTGATTGATTCCACCAGACTGACATACTCCCTAGAGTATAGGGGTGTGTGTGTGTGTGTGTGTGTGTGTGTGTGTGTGTGTGTGTGTGTGTTTCTCTTGAGAAAAGACTCGGATAAATGGAAATAAAGCTTGTCCTTGAAGAAACAGGTGTGATACTGACTTCAAACTGCTACTGAGAAGTGAAATCTGGATTTTATTTAGTTTGGGGCTGTCAAATTAGGAGTGTCAGTTTGAGGCAGTAAATAACACAACACAACAGCTGAATCAAGCTTCTAATGTATGGCTATTAGTTAATAAGTTATCATTAGTAGAGACCTTTGGATTTCTAAAGCAAGGCTGGAAACTAGACTTTAAGGGCTGCATTTAATTAAATGAAATGGTTTTGAAACGTAGGTCTGTTTTCACATAGAGACTAATCTTTTGTCATGTGAGTTTGGAGTTAGTTGTTTTTGTTGTTCCTTGCCAACCCCCTCCACCGCTCTGCATATTTTGTTTTTACTTGATTTTCATCCACAGAATCCAAAACAGGAATACATCCTTCTAGACTTCATTTTGCATTCTAGGATTCCATGATGGGAGTGTCCAGGGTTTCTTCCTCCCCTGGGCACTCCTTTTCCATGTTTGCTGGAAGATTTTTATCTTCGCTGAGATAACACACTTGTGTTGCGTTGCTGTCTTAGAGGAATTCACTATACTTGAGCTACTCTGCTTTCTATTACTGTGATAAAGACCATGACCAAAAGCAACTTGAGGAGGAAAGGGTTTCTTTGGTTTACACATCCCCATCACAATCCATCATTGAAGGAAGCCAAGGCAGGCACTCAGAGACCGTGGAAGAAAGATGTTTACTGGCTTAATTTCCATAGCTTCCTCAGCCTGCTTTCTTAAACCTATGAAGGACCACCTGCCCAGGGGTGGCACTGCCCACAGTGGACTAGGCCCTCCCACATCTGTCATTAATAAAGTCCTCACAGATTTACCTACAGACCAGTCTGATGAGGCATTTTCTCAACTGAAGTTTCTTTTTCTCAGATGATTCTAGTGTCTGTCAAATTGACAAAGAAAACTAACTGGCAAAATAATCACACCCCATCCCTGTGCCTGGCCCTTCTTCATCTTCCATATCTTAAGGGAAGGGCATAAATTTAGGAATGGATGCTTCAACTTCCTGTTTCATGTCTGAGATGTTGAAGTTTAAAAATTTTATTTTTTTATCTGCAAAGCCTGTCTTACTGCACATGTCCTGGCTTACATGGATAATTAAAGTGAAGCCAAAAGTGGATGTGAAATTTGTTCTTTAGTATCTTGTGCTTGTTTCTTATTATTGAGAATTGGACCAAATTGATGATAGCAACTTTGGAAGTAAAGATGGGTTCATTGATGACTATTTCTTAGCCAAGTCCTCAGTTGATGTGCCTTTTTTTTTTTTAAGGTAAATAAATATAAATGCCTAGAGCCCATTCAGTCTTAATGGGATATAAATTGAATTTGATGAGAACTTTTAATTAAATCAAAAGTATTCAAAGAAACATCCCTGCTCAGTAGTAAAATTGTGACCTATAACCAAGTATAGAGCAAATTCATGACCTATAACCAACTGTAGAGTAACTTGTGACCTATAACCCAGAGTATGTGCTGTACTGTAATACATATAAATCCTGAACTTAACATGACTCACGGTATATACTGCACTGTAATAAATATAAATTCTGAATTTAACATGATGCAGTGAGAAGTGCAGAGGTATTTAATCCCATGTGAAGTCAAATGCAGAGCAGGATGGGGCTGGAGAGATGGCTCAGAGGTTAAGAAACACTGCTGCTCTTCCAGAGGTCCTGAGTTCAATTCCCATCAACCACATGATGGCTCACAGCCATCTATAATGAGGTCTGGTACTCTCTTTTGGTGTGCAGGTGTGCATGCAGATAGAACACTGTATACATAATAAATAGATTTTAAAAATTCAGAACAAGAAAAGTTTGAATTCATAGAAGTATTGTGTGTGTATGTTGATTTTCATCCTTCAGAACTACAGGTTGTAAACAGTCAAAAAATTCTTAAGAAATTAGGTAACTTTTACAGCTGGGCGTTGGTGGCATATGCCTTTAATCCCAGCACTCAGGAGGCAGAGGCAGGTAGATCTCTGTGAGTTCAAGGCCAGTCTGATCTACAGAGCGAGTTCCAGGATAGGCTCCAAAGCAATACAGAGAACCCCTGTCTCAAAAAAAAAAAAAAAAAAGAAAAGAAAAGAAAAGAAATTGGACAACTTTCTGATTTTCTTCACAATATTAGAATATAAACTTAATATTTTGATATAAAAGTACAGTAATTTCTCTAGTTTTTAATATAGTTGTCCCATGTCTTTGTGATATGTGATTCATTGAATCACAGCATCTTTTGCTTTCTTTCTTTCTTTCTTTCTTTCTTTCTTTCTTTCTTTCTTTCTTTCTTTTTGAGACAGCATCGTACTATGTAGACCAGACTGGCCTTGAATTCATGGAGATATGTGTGTTTCTCTGCTTCTACTTTCCCATTGCTGGGATGAAAAGTATGTGTCACCATACCCAGATAGTCTCAGCTTCTAAAAAACAGGGTCTCAACCACACCTAGGTCACATACCTGAATGTGGGTTTATGAAAAATCTGACAATATAAAAGGGTTCTGAGAGCACAGTAAGCAAAAATCAGTTGAGAGTCAGCGGATCAGGTGTCAGAGGCGTCTGCCATGGTCACCGTGTCCCTGAAGCTGTTTCTGCACGTGTGCACTTTGTAAGCCATCACATCACATGATGCTAACCAAGATCTCTCAGGAAAAAGTGTACCACTCCATAGAAGCATAATGCTTCTGCCACAAAAAAAGATGTTCATTTAACATTTTCCTGTTGCCATGTCTCAGCGTGTAAGCATCAAATTAGTATTTTATTACAATGCTTGGTTGAAAAAAATTGCTTTTAGTGGACTGGCTAAATGACTTTGTGTGTAAGAGTACTTGCTGCCATCCCTGGAGAAATGAGATCAGTCCCCAGAACCCACATGGGTGAAGCAAGAACTGAGTACCCAGACAGCTATCTACTCATGGCAGCACACAGACTCAATAAATGAATTAACTAATTAATACAAAATTCTGTTAGAGTTGCTGGCTTGACTTTTATGAGAAATTGTTAGATGAATTTGGCTTGAGATTTTGAACAACTTCTGAACATAAACGTCTGGCATTTTATATGAAATGGTATTCTCAGTATTAGCTGCTTTAAAGTGTTTCATTGATCAATTCTGAAAAAATGCTGAAGAGTCTGTGTTGTACAGTACTGGAAGTTCAGCCAGGATTCATTGTTTCATGTAATTTTTTTACATCATGGATTTTGACATCAGAGGACAATTAGTGGACATTGGTTCTTTCCTTGTACTGCGTGGGTCACAGAGGTGAACTTCTGTCATAAGGGTGGCAGGAGCACCATTGCCCACGGAGCCAGGCCAGTGACATGGGGCAGATTGAATTCGTGATACAGAGAGGAACAAGCGCAAGGCCATCTCAGTGTTCAGATTTACTTTTGTCTTTTAATAGATGCTAAAATTATACCTGTTCCAAATAAGGGTTTTAAAATGAAATTGTCCTTGATTATTGTCTGTAAATGTTTGTATTGCACACCTGTTGTATATACACCTATACACTTGGGTTGTGTAAAAGTGTAAGGGGTGAACAGGAGTCCTGAGTAGAGCATGTAAGCCTTGTGTTAGCTGACCTCTTCCCTGCTGTTGTCCCTACTGTCAGGTTATTGGCTACACTTCCACAGCCTCAGAACTTGAATCTCAGCTCCTATGTAACTAAAATGATTATATGGAAAAGTGGTATCTAGAATGTAAGATGCATGTGAATCAATGAGTGCATCAGTGGCATTCCAAGGTTTTGTCTTTTCTTCCTTCAGATTAGAACATCATGGCAGGGAGGAATCAGAATCGAACTGTTTCCCTCCCAGGAATTCAGGCCAGTGGCCAGGTACATACTTTTGGAAATTGTACGGACAATGACGGGTTGGAGGAAGATGCTGAAGTATATGAACTTCGGTCCAGGGGAAAGGAAAAGGTTCGAAGAAGCACATCAAGAGACAGGCTTGATGACATCATTATATTAACAAAAGATATACAAGAAGGGGACACTCTAAATGCAGTAGCCCTTCAGTACTGTTGTACGGTAAGTCTTCATTTAATTTATTTTTGCATAATAGAGTCCAGAATCAATTATTTGTTCATCAACCCAACCAGAATTGAAGTAATTCTGTGCCCTCTTACATTCCTTCCTTTCCTGTTTGCTCATTTTTCTTCTTTGCACAGAGATCTCACACCTGTGGACATGACCACCATTTTAAGTGACTGCTTGAATTCTGATAATTCAGTCTGTCATTTTGGTGTGTTTCTGTACCTTCTCTTTGTGCTTGTATATATAGCTAAGTATTTAGGGACTGATAAAGGCTTGCTGTATTTTGTTTCTAAAATTACCATATACTGTGTATTATTCTGCAAGTTGTATTTTTTGTATCTTGGCCATCCTTTATAACTTTATAGACCTACTTCATTGGAAAGAGGGCAATGGTTCACCTCAACCTGGAGTTCCAGATGGTTGTGAGGTGCCTGATGTGGGTGTTAGGAACCCAACCCACCCAGGACCTGTGCAAGAGCAGCACATGCATGTAGCCCCACAGGCCCCTACAACCCTGCTTTTGTTTTCACAGATGAGAGTTCTTTTTAATAAAGTGAAATTCTGTAACACTTTCTTCTGCTTTTCTGATACTTCCATCTATACAGTTGTTTTATAATATAAAATATTTGTAAATTTGAAATTTACAAATGACTTGTCATACTACTCTACTGTAAGAATGTACATTTTATACATTTGCTGTATGTATATATGTATGTATGTTTAAGATTTAAAAAAACAACTTCTTTGGCCATGATGTTCTCAGGATAAAGTAATTAATCCAGTTACTCATAGCATGTCAAAGTAAATTATAGCTTTAGATTTAAAGATTAATAAAAATTTTTTGTTGGGATATATTTTTGATGAGGTAGAAAGATGGGTACTTGGTTTTCACTTCAGAGTCACTAAGGACTGAAACAGCAGTGCTGACAGCTTGAGCTTACAGAGCGCAGAAGGCATTGGCCGTGGAGGGGAGAGCTGCTTGTTCATGCTGCTCCCTTGTGAGTGCTCCCTTGTGGTGAATACTCAAGCTGCATAGAAACATTAACTCACAAATGGACTTACCATTGTCTATACAGTTGGTAGTTATTGCTATATTGAAAACATGCTTGTTACAAAACAGTGATGAAAGATCCAGGGCTGTAATTCTAAATGTGTTCAGGTTAGTTAGCATAACCCAGAAAACAATTTTCACTGTATTAGAGACATAGCCTAGGTATATGATAAGTCTTAGATGCCAAATTCTGAAAGTACCAAGCAGTTTTTAGGAAAGCAAGAGAAATTAAAATAGAGTGGGGGGCCATGCTTTGGGGTTTTCCACTGAGTCTTTGTTTGCTTTAAGACAAAATGGGATAAAGTAGACAGACAACAAGTACTCTACTCTCTCATCTCGTTAGTTAGTCTATAGTTCTCTCCAGTAGTCAGTCATCCAGAAACATCCAATTGGGTGTTTTTCCATTTTCCAAGTGCAGATCACTAATCTGATTCTGTTTACTGCTCCCTGTGAAGCAGTCTGCTTGACCTGACAGTGTAGGCTCCAGAGTCTCATGTTACTTAGTAGTCAGTAAAAGTTAGTATCATATGATACTGTATAGATGGCTACTCCAAGTATTCTTTATGCATTTGAACCCATTAGTATTCACACCCGTTTTCCAAGGTAGGGAATATCAGCATTAACACTTTACAGGTATGGAAATGGAGTAGCAGAAAGGTACTCACCCTAAATCACACAGCTAGAACATGATACTTGGGCTTCACAGATGTGTGTTTTTGACCACCATGCGATACTCCCTTCCGACCACTTTTGGTTCAGTTTTCTTTCATATCCTTTAAATGTTGGTATCGCAGGGTGCTCTCCTCTCAGTTTTCTCCATACATAACATTTTCTATTCAAGTCTCACATCCTCTCATTTAAGTTTCGGACATCTGTCTTTACCTCTGGTGAAGATCATTTGCATCTCAGGCACCTAAAAGCCACTATATCTGAAATCTGTGTGCAGCCTTTCCCATTTTCCACAAGGCTCTGTATCACTGAGTGCCATCATCCCCCACTGCTCTGCCATTAGTTGGGTAGCACAGGGTAAGAGCTTGAAGTATCGACTGAAACGTAACCCCTAGAACTAATAACTCATAGGCAGGGAAAGAACTTGGCTTATTCATTGTTAATCTGAGAAATAGCCATCCTTCAGATCAGAATGGCATGGGGCAGGTGGGAATTATAGAATGTATATAAGGAAACTATGAGCCTGATGTTGGAGTAATTGTCTAATTTATTGACACAGATGGATTCAGGGAAAAATAACTTCAGAAGACAGGAGAGTGGGTGAACTGCTTATTAAACATCAACATTTCACAGTTCAACATTCCTGAAAGTAGCACAATGATGCCTGCTGAAACACAGTCCAGTAATGGGAGATTCTGAGTGCTTGTAAGAACTCTCCAAGGAAACAAGAGACTTGTGGCCTCAGTTTCTTCAAAACCTGGAACTATTGTGGGAACATATTTGTGCCCCTCTCAGGTGCAGTGGACAGGAGTGAGTTTATTTCAGCTGTTGCTATTCATATGCCTCTATGGAAAAACAGGTTTCTGCCATGTGTGGCTTGTCCCGGCTGAGACATAACTGAATCATGGTGCCTGTAGTGTCGATGGCATTTTAGTTTTGCTGAAATATGGCTCTTTTAACTTGAGTAAATTAATGTGCTTATACTCCAGTTGCCAGGTTGAAACATTGACTATTAGTACCAGTAATTGTTTATTCACAAATTGCTTGCCAACATAACATTGTCTATGTAAATTTTTGTGATGTACAAAAAAAAAAGACAAAATATCTGAGTATTAACTAGTATTACTACTACCTAGCTGCAGACAATACAAAGATACAAAGTCATTGGTGATTTCCTAATACTAGATTAATTTAGTGTTTAGAATTCTCATATACAAATGAGTTTAAAATCTGGGTGTGGTACCAATACTACTAGTAAGAATGAAATTCAACAATTTTCTCTCTAAAGTAAGTGAATGGATGAGGTTTTATGTCTACTTTTAGAATTCAGTTGAATGTTACATTTTTCTCTTTTGCAGGTAGCAGATATCAAAAGAGTTAACAATCTCATCAGTGATCAAGACTTTTTTGCCCTTAGGTCTATCAAAATCCCAGTTAAAAAGTTTAGTTCTTTGACTGAAACTCTTCATCCTCTGAAAGGAAGACAAGGTTTTCATCCTCCACTTGTTCCATGTACTCCAGGGCAGGAATCGGTGGCCACTGAGGACTCTCTGTGTTCCAGTGAGTCAGCTGGCAGTTTCCTGAAGGAAGTGGATCGGGACATAGAACAAATAGTAAAGTGCACGGACACCAAAAAGGAGAACCTGAACGAGGTAGTGTCTGCCTTAACTGCCCAGCAGATCCGCTTTGAACCGGACAGCAGAAGCACTCCCAGAAAGGATCCCTACTATGGAGCAGACTGGGGAATTGGTTGGTGGACAGCTGTAGTGATAATGTTGATAGTGGGTATAATAACGCCAGTATTTTATTTGCTGTATTATGAAATTTTAGCTAAAGTAGATGTTAGTCACCATTCAACAGTGGGCTCTTCACACTTGCATCCAGGACTCACACCTCCCTCACAGCACAGAGAAATGGAAAATGGAATTGGCCCAACAAAAGGAATGCATGGTGGTCAACAAGATGACCACAGACTATATAGGCAAGATTCGCAGGCTCCTGCTGCTCAACACAAAACGTAGCAGTGAGCTCTAATCAGTGTTGATTGATGATCATGTGCACATATGGAATGTGGTGGTTCAGAGACCTCCAAAAGCTGCTCGAAGTCAATCTAGGAACATCGAGGATGCTTTGATTTTACCTTCCTAGGAATCCCTGAGCCTTTTTTTTTACAAATGGATTGTCTATAATATACACATTTGCTTTTTATATTGAGACTGGTCAGAACTCATCTGCTCTATCAGTTCATGAAGCAGAAATTAATTTAAATGTATGTCTAGGAATTCTAACTTAGAAGATGCTCTCATTTTTCTTATTCAAGATTAGTTACATTTAAATTTATTTTTTAAAAGAATATTTTTTTTTTAAATTCAAGGTTGTTCATGTCAAGTGTTTGAGATGCTTACAACTGAAGAACATTTGCTACCATACCATCAGAACATTGTTGTAAAAGTTTTGACTCTAAAATTATTTATGATACCAAGTACTTAACACTCAGTTTTGAAAGTTTGAAAACAGATATGGAAATGTAATTTATAACTTGTATAATAGAGGCTAACAAATTAACTATTTTGAGACCCCTGAATAATGTCTTAGTGTTGGGGACTTGCCATTTGATCACAAGGGCACTGAAAGAGGTCAGGACCTAGTCCATGAGAGAGGATACTTTAGGACCGGCCTTCCAACCTCACTTCCACTTATCAGTAAAAAGGAATGTAATCGTATCTGGTATTTGGAAGCACTTTGTAGTTCTTTGATGAAGTGTTATACAGAAAAGCATATTCAGCAAATTTCTCTTAACATACTGTGACTAATCACTGCTGTTACAAATAATAACATGCCTTAATTACACTTAATGCCTTACAATGTCACTTTACGTAAGTTCATACACACTTTATAATTAAAGTGGAAACATTGTCAGATTTCCTGCCATAGGTTATCATTTCATATGCTGTGTAAATTTGTCTGTCTTCACTTTTAAGCATAAGTTAGTGGAATAAACCAATTTGTACTATCTGCCTCTGAAGTCTTGAGAAAAATGATTAAGCAGAAATGAGTAAATAGTAATTTCATATTAGCAGCAGATAGATTGCTTTATTTGGTGGCCTCTTGACCTCTGCTTTTCAAAAAGAAAATGTCCAATTTAGATTACCCCCACCTACTATGCATCAAATTGAGAAGTATGGGGTACACTTGTGTGGCTCAGTCAAAAGGGCTTAGTGCTGGCATTTTCAGTCTACTGTGAGACAACCGGTTTGGCTTAGAAGCATTTGTATGCTTATTCCAGTGTTTAATTTTAAATGCGCATTTTTAAAATGTAAGTGCAGGTGGTCAAATCTGGATTGCATGTTTTCTGTGTGATAAACTGCATACCTTAAAATATATTATATCACCTCCCTCACTTTTTGGACATTATTTCTTAAAAACAATGTTTTAGCTTTTTAAACATTTTGTATATCAAATTCCAATCCTGATACAAGGAATTATTAGTACATATTTATTATATTTGTGATTTTATATACTTTGAGAAGAAAAATAACCTAAAAAAAGAGACAGGAGTCAGTCATTATAAAACCCCTACATATATCAGAGGTTTAGAAAATTACCTTTAAAGAATTTTAATAATTGGAAAATTGTAGTAAACTGATTCCCTTAGTATATCTTAGTTAAAATCTTTTTTAATTGTTTTAACATGCCACATGCATTTTGAAATGAGTGTAATCTTTAATTATACTCACTGTTAACACAGCTACTTTACATAATATTTACTAAGCCTGCTGAAAAATCAAATTTTAGGGTAGAAAATGAAGATGTCAGGGCAGCCTGACATAACCTTCCAAAAACTTTGTTTACATCAAACATAAGATTATAAAGTTACTGATTCCTTTTTTGCTGGTTTACTTTGAAATTGTAATCGAGGGCTTGATAACGTGTTTAAAGGAGGTGTACTTGCTGGTTAAAATAATTTGTCTTGAGCATCCTTTTTGAAGGAAATACAACACATTCTTAGGAAACAACCAAGCAATTTCCTTTTCCTATATATTTTGGAATTACTAATTGAATAAAATCCTATGTGTAGAATCATGCTTTCATCTTTAAAAGAAAAAGAAATTAAGTATTTAATAGAATTTTGGAAAATAATATACATTTGCAAATGTATGCAAATTTTTGGCAACTGCAAACTTCATTGTATTCTAGACAACATAAGCACAATGGTCATTGTTTGATACTATGGATCATGTTCAAGCCCTTACTTGAATTTGCTTTGAGGCTTTAAAGTGTGTGTGTGTGTGTGTGTGTGTGTGTGTGTGTGTGTGCAGTTAAACATAAGAGAGCTGAGTCATAGTCATTGATACTAGTTCACTTAAAAATTTGGAATTGTAAGTAAAGAAAAACCTGATATTGTTAGGACAAATTCTTGACTTGTGAAAGACTAGTTAGATGTCGTTGAGTTTGTTTTGAATCAATGGATAGCTTTTTAAATATCTTCACTGTTCTCTCAGCAAAAACAAAGTTATGGTTGGCTGGCCATGCTATGGATTAGGAAGGAACATGCATTCTCAAGTTTTCTTTTCCAGTGGAGTTTGATTTTAAAAAACCTTTTTCTGGACTATGCTGTTTGGAGGCATGAAAAGTTCACTAACTCAACCACTCTTTAGTAACTGATTACTCCTCTTTAATATCTTACTGGAAATGTGAAGGCTGTTGAGGTTAGAAATAGAAGTGGAGATCCAGTCTCAGAGTGTTAGAATTAGGTTGAGATATTCAAACACTGCATTATCATGGGACTCTTTCTGATTTTGAATTACAACATTGTTGCTCAGGAAATCAGTATTTTTTTTCTAAGTATGTGCATATTGCACTGTTAGATCATAGAAATATGAATGCTTTATTTAATTCCTTTTATGTATGCAAAAGCTATAAATCTTTTGTGTAATGTATTTTATATAATTGCAAATGTATTAAACCATTGTTAGCATGCACATCTGTAAAACTGGTTTTTAAACTTTTGGCCTTGTTTTCATATTTTAAGATGCAAAATATTAATAAAGTTTCTATTTTATTAATAATTTGAAAACAGAAGTTGTTGAATGTGATTGAATAAAGCAAACATTTAATTTTTTTCAAGCTACTTAAAATGTTTTTTTCACATTAGTTCTTTAAGAGTTTTAAGTTTTGTGTGTTTTGTTCATATTCACACACTCACACACTCAAATCTTCACAGATCCACCTCTTCCCTTTGCATCCAACCTTGAGTCCTTTAATACACACACACACACAAACACAAACTACACATATTAAGGCCAATTTGTTGTGCCAAATATTCTTGGATGCATGCCTTCCACTGGAGCATGATGGTTGACATCATGAGATGCATTCTGACAGAAAACTGACTCTTCTCTAAGCTGCTATCATTTACCATTTGCTTCATGGCTAGGAGTGTGATATTGTGTGCCCAACTTCTTTTGTCATGCTAACATTTGATCTGGCTTGAGACTGTACATGTCTTGTCCATGTTGTCCCAACAGTTCATAGGTACAGCCATACTGCTCTGTCCAGATGTTTCCAAGTAGTCATCTACTGTCTCTAGCTGTTGGAATCTTTCTACCTTCTCTTCCTCAATGATCCCTTAGCCTTGGGAGGAGGGTGTGTGCAATTATACCCTCAGGTGAGTTGAAAGTAGGGAGTCAGTTTAATATTCAGTCTATTTACAAGCATAATAAATAGGCTCTCTGATAGCTATGACTTGTCTAACAGTTTTTTGGCCCAATAATATTGCCAAGTGTAGGTTTCATCTAGTGGAACAGGGCTTAAATATAACTAGAAAGTGCTTGGTTAGTTCCATGATCTATGTGCCACTATGTCACTAATGGACATAAATTGCTAGGGCAATGTTTGTTGTAGTTAGTGGAGTTCACAGCTGGGTATAAACTCAAATTGCCACACATTTATGGATTCATATTTCCCACTTGTTATACTCAGTAGCCACTGAATTATTTGTATAACATAAATCAACAAGTGTTAGGTAAATGGCTATGGGGAATTGTATTCCTGGTAAATAAGACTTGGTAAGTCCAGGCCATGCTTATAAAGCCCAGTCAGTCTCATGAGATGCTCTAACTATAAATTGCAACTGTTTATAAAACAAAACTGCCTTTTAAGAGTATAAATCTTAGGGAGTCAGGAGGGAGAAGTCTGTCAGTAAAGTGCTTCTTGCACAGCTTGAGGAACCAAGTTCAGACTCCTATCACTCCTGTAAAAATTGCATATCTGTAATCCTAGTGCAAGGAAGGCAAAGACAAGAGCATTCCTTGGGCTTGCAGACCAGACAAGTTAGTGGGATTTGTGATCCTGCAAAATGAAGAGAAATAGAGGAAGACTCTAACTAGCTTTTGGTCTGCAAACACATTTAAATGAACACCACATATAACATACATACATACATACACACACACACACACACACACACACACACACACACGAGAAAGAATTGAGAAAGTTCTTCAGGGGAAACTTAAAATTCCTCTGACACTTTTCACTTGAAGGTGGAAAGACGGACAGCCATCCTCTAAGTCTTTGGCATTTTCCAGCAACACTGGTAAAGAAAACAGTGAGCACACATTCCCTGCCAAATTTAAGGCAAGAGTTTTCTTTTGTTGTATATGGTGGAAATTTGTTCAACAACTGTCCCTGCTCAATAAATGAAGTTACTTTAGCAGATAAAATCAGAATTAGCAAGTTTTCCCTACCAAGTAAATGTTCACCTTAGTATTAGGGCCAAAATTTTAGTTTTTAAACTTTATAGGTGTAAACAAATACAGAAAAATCAGCATTGTTGCAATTTATTTTATTTGTTAAGATAATGTTAAAGACATTTCACCCATCAGTTCCAGTAAGTACTTTAACCATTAAGAAGTTATCTCTATAAAGTAATTTCACAGTCTCAGAGCTTAAGCCAAGAAAACAGATTTATGCTGGTCAAGCAACCTGAAAAAAATCATCTTCTCAAAATTAGTATGTTTAAAGTTGTAAACTGATTTTTCAAAGGGGGACAGACATCCTTAGAGGAGATTCCAGGTGCCCCAGAATAAGTCCTGACAGAAAGGACCTTCCTGGCACTTGGTGGGAACACAACAGTGAAGACAAACTGGAAACTAGGAGAGAGGTCATTGACAGTCCATCTCCCAGATATGAATAGTTATATGAAGATTTGTAATAAAGGGAAGGAACAGAAAATAGAGCATCTATGAACTACATATTTGGCTCTGGTACCAAATGTAAGAGAATAAAGTACCTGTTACTCCCAAATAACAGCATTTGCCATCAATACTAAAACTTCATGGAAGTTTTCTAACACATTGAAGCTTGAAAGACTTTTCATGCTTCCACTTAGAATCTTAAAACATTTTTTTTTTTTTATAAACTCTTGGGAAATGGATATAAGTCACATGTGTTCAGTACAGCACTATACAGACAAGCTACGGGCCATCACACCCATCTGGAAGTATTTGAAGAAGTATTGCCATTGAAAGTGATCCTGCTCCTGAGAAAGGAATGTTGGAATCTCTCCAGACCATACAAATTAACTACAGTTTCTAACATAGATAGAAGATCAGAAAAATGAACTATAACTTAACAGAAAACTGTTTCTCACAACGACTTCACTTTCCACAGTACAGTTGTTTACAGGGTAAAAATCAAATTTAAGACATCATTGTTTCTGCAAGGTAAAAGATGGCATATTTGGTAAATTCTGGTTAGTGTCCAAACAATTTTTATAGGAAACTGTTTACAATTAGAGAAACTAAGGCACACAAACTTAAGCTCAATTTCAAGGCTATCTTGATCCTGAGAGAAAAAACAGGGCTCCTGTTTCCAGGTCAGAAGGTAGTGAGTGACAAGTCTCCCCAAAGGGGAAAGCAGGTTTTCATCCCGCAGGCAGATAATTTTAATATATTAGTTTTGAAATGCAAAATATGCATTTCCTTGAAAATCTTTGGCATGTTAAAAGACCTTAGAGGCGAAGGGTTCTGCATATTTTCTCCTGCAAAATATAAAACCCTGTAAGTTAGGAAGAATCAATTGTAATTTCAAAATGACCTGAGTTCATTTGCATGATTCTATGATCAACTTGCAGTTTCTGAATCTGGTGATATATAACTGAGGGTATTGCCCTTCACCGTATTCACAGATAGCATTCTATCATGAAGCTTATTCAACCAGGACTTATTTCCACTTACATCAAACAGAGAATTAAACAGTGTGTCTCAACTATTTTTTTTTTTTTCATAAACTCAACAAATTGAAGAGATCAAACTTAGTACAGTGAAATCATTAATTCATACATTGTAAGGCATGGAGTTATCCCCCAAAGCCAAGCATGTATAACCTTCCACCCACGTGAAAGGCTTTGTTTGGCTGAGATGTGAACTGTGAAGGTTATCTCATCTAGGTCACTACTTTTTGCTGGGGACATGTTTCCTACCACCAACACTCTCATCTCCTGAGTATGCACTTGTTAAGAACATGACGAGTCTATGCAGTCAGTGCGATAAAACAGAACACACCAGATAAGAGAAATCATTTTCCAGTTTGTTTTTAAAGTGCTCCATGTGCAATATCAATGGAAATCCACTAGTACTAGTAACAACCAAAGGTCGGCAGGTAGCAAAGGTGATCTTTTCTCAAGTATGAACACACAGATTGAGCGATGCTAAAATCTTCAGGCATATTCAAATCCAGATAAAACAAAGACCAAAATAACCAGGGCGTGGCAGAGGTGCTGGGATAAAGTCACGTGTGTAAACATGAAGTGGCTCTGAAGAGCAAGGTAAGGATTTGTCAAATGAAACACCGAACAACAGAAAACATGGGCTTAACCCTTATCAGAAATAAAGTCAGTCAAATCCAAATGCTTGAAGCTGTACCAGGAAGAAAAGAGAGAGAAATTCCATGGCTAGTAGGTTGCTTCATCCATGTTGTCATCACTGTCTGCACCGAAATCATCTCCATTATCGAAGTAGGAGTTAATGTAGTCATTTTCCTAAGTGAAAGGATATAGTCCTTAAGTCAATAAAGTGAATTAGCAACATATTAGAATACCACACACACACACACACACACCAAAAAAAAAAAAAAAAAAAAAAAAAAGACATGTCTTTAATTATAAACACCAAATTAAGGTAAAAAAAAAAGGAAATCCACGAGACTCGAATAGAAAGCCTATGCTTGTGAATGCTCCGCTTTAAAGAACGGTTTCCATGCGTTTCTACCTGCGCCACTTTCTTCCCAGTACCACTTTTGCAGTGCGCAGGTGCTAACCAGCTGAGAGCACAGAAAGGGCTGTGTTGCCACCGCAGCAGGGATGCCCAGTGCCGCACTCCTAAGCGGAGGGATTCGGGGTGTTAGATGCTGAGGCACTGATCATTTACTCCACCAATGCATTGACCACAAGAAGCACGTATTTGCATCAATAGTCTACGTTACCTCAGAACCCAGGCATGAGGTCAAAGGGTAGCACCCTCTCATCAGAGGGACTATCATTACCTATCAAAGGGCAATCTCCCTCCAACCCAAACCATGGAAACCGCATGATAGTCCTCTCAGCTTCTGGCAATGTTCCAGATGTAGCTGAGTAGGGCCATCATGCCTGGAAATGATTCAAAAGACATGTGTGCCTTCTATTAAAACTTTGAAAACCAAGTTTTCAAGATTTCTCAGCCAGTTGCCATGTATGGAGTCTGTATGGATTGTAATAAAGACTAATTTTTTAATCAAGGAAATTTAAAAGTGGTTATATATGTTGGATCATATTGAGTACAATGATACTGTGATGTTGAAGAGCCCTAAGTTTGTGTCCACACAGATACTTAGGGATGAGTTGAAACAGTACAATGCTAAGGACTTGTTTTACTGTGATCCAGGGTAGACTGAGGGATGGGAGGACAAGGGTGGACAAGCAGAGGTCTGATGTACATATGAAAAAAAAAAAAATTGGAAAATTAGCTATGCAATGAAGAGCCATGGATGCTCACACCTGGGAGGACTAGGAAGAATGACTTCAAGGCCAGCCTGTCTCACTCCTGACCCCATTCCCCAAATCCCTACATCTCTTCTATTTACAGTGGAAACAGATGACATTCTCCAAAGCTTTCTAAATACCAGCTTTATCCTATAGGTTTTCTTTTTAAACATCTGGAATGTATGTGCATATTTGTGTATTTTAGATTACTCTGTCTTCCCTAAATCCTGCTGAGTTTATGCATCCAACACAAAGCCATTGTAGTGCCCTAAGTTGGCCTAGCTTCTTTGATGCCAAGAACTTCACAAAGGTCCAGAAACCAAGCTGAAGCCTGGGGCCTTTGTACTAGGGGAAGGGTGACTGGCAGAGCATTCAAATGAAGCCACACAGTAAATAAGGCCTTAGCTCTATGCACATAAGGAAATATAAGCAAACAAATTCATGCACAAAGCAAGGAAGAGAAGCCAGAACCCAATCAAGCAAGAAGCACTCGTCTTTTAGACATGGGTACTTATTCCAAGTATGTTTAGTGACTCAGATGCTCACACTGAGATGTTAGCAATCTTGTTGCAGGCGTGTTTTGGGGAGCCTGCTGAAACCAATGGCCTGAGTGGCTCTCCAGGCTCTCCACTGAGTTCCAGCTTTATTTATTCTTAAACTAAATATCCAAAATGCCAAAAGAAAAGTATTGTCTTTAACATGTGTTACCAGAAGACACATTACACTCTATTCACCAAAATGAAATGTGACAAGACCTCTAGGGGAGCTCGCTTTCTGTCCCTCACTCAACCTCACTTGTGTAATTTTGATTTTTTTTTTTAAACTCACTCTCTGGTGCAGTATTTTACTGAGGCCCAATCACAGCTCTTAACTACCAAAACCTGTTGGTTTCTTCACTACATTACTAATTACTATAACTGTATCACTCTAGCTGACCTAAAAATTCTATATAGACTAGGCTGGCCTTGAATTGAGATGCTGGAATTAAAGATTTGCTCTACCACCCCAGCCCATGAATGTTTAATTTTAACACACATGGTTCACACTCAATTCAGGTTGATTTTTATCAAAATAGAGTTGAGCATAGTGACTCAGACTTAAAAATCCAATAACTGGGAGGCTGAGATACAGGAATGCTCCAAATTTGAAGCCACCCTGTGCTTTATAGTGAGTTTCAAACAAGCTGCCAACAGAGTAGGTCATCTTTCAACACACACACACACAAACACACACCCCCCAACCAAATAAAAGAGCAGTATAAAAGTCAGTCTTCTCTGGACTGGCATCTACCATCCAAACTTAATAAAACCTTCCTAATATCCCTGTTATGACAACCAGAAATGGCTCCATCCATTACCATGCATTTCTATATTAACATTTATTCATTTATTTATTGTGGGGGGCATGCATGCATGTCATGGTTTGCATGTGGGTGTCAAAGAACAACTTCCATGTCCTTTCTCCCTTTCCCCCATGTGGGTTCTGGAGGTTAAATTCATCAGGTACCTTTACCCACTGAGGCAGTGGCTTTGAACTAATAACTGGTAAGAAATTTTCAAATATGATTTATTGTAAGCAAGTGAGTTCTCCAAAATGCAATACAATTAACTTTAGTGGCTTACCATAGCATGGAAAGATAAAGTCAGATTTCTCAGCCTAACATTCAAGACCCTAATGAACTCCATTGTGGTTCTTTGTTCAAAAAAGATCTAATACCAATAGTCCTAAAATTATTACGCACAATAGAAATAGAAGGAACACTGCCATGAGGATAAAGTTACCCTGATACTGAAACCACACCAAGACACAACTAAGAAAGATAACTACAGACCAATTTCCATATGAATATAGATGCAAAAATACTCAATAAAATACTGGAAAATTGAATTCAAGAACACATCAGAAAAATCATCCACCATGACTAAGTAGGCTTCATCCCAAAGATGCTGGGATGGTTTAACATACGAAAATCCACCAATGTAATCTACCATATAAGCAAACTGAAAAAAAAAAAAAATCACATGATCATCTCACTATATGCTGAAAAAGCCTTCGACAAAATTCAACACCCCTTTGTGATAAAGGCCTTGGAGAAAAGAGGAATACAAGGAATACAAGGAACACACACATAATAAAGGCAATATACAGTAACCCAACAGCCAGCATTAAACTAAATAGAAAATCAAAGTACTCCCACTAAAATCAGGAACAAGAAATGACTATCCATTCTTTCCGTATCTATTCAACATAGTACTCCAAGTTCTAGCTATAGTAATAAGACAAAAAAAAAAAAAAAAAAAAAAAAAAAAAAAGGAGATCAAAGGGATACAAATTGGGAAAGAAGTCAAACTCTCACTATTTGCTGATGATATGGTAGAATGCATAAGTGACCCCAAAAATTCTACACGAAAACTCCTACAACTGATAAACACCTTCAGTAATGTAACAGCAAGATTAAAAGATCAAAAAAATCAATAGCCCTCCTATATACAGATGACAAACAGGCAGGGAAGGAAATCAGAGAAACATCACTCTTTACACTAGCCATATCTTGTGGTAATTCTAACCAAACAAGTGAAAGACCTGTATGACAGGAACTTCAAGTCTTTAAAGAAAGAAATTAAAGAAGATACCAGAAAATGGAAAGATTCCCCCATGCTCTTGGATAGGTAGGATCAACATAGTAAAAATGGCAATCTTTCCAAAAAGCAATCTATAGATTCAATGCAATCTCCATTAAAATCCCAACATAATTCTTCATAGACCTTGAAAGGACAATACTCAATTTCATATGGAAAAACCAAAATCCCAGGATAGCCAAAACAACCCTGTACAATAAAGGATCATCTGGCGGCATCACCATCCCTGACTTGAAGGCTGTACTATAGACTATTAGAATGAAAATAGCTTGGTATTGGCATAAAAATAGACAGGTGGACCAATGGAATTTAATCAAAGATACTGATATCAACCCACACACCTAGGAACACCTAATTTTTGACAAAAATGCTAAAACTATAAGATGGAAAAAAGAAATGGCTGTCAACATGTAGAAGAATGCAAATGGATCCATATCTATTGCCATGCACAAAACTCAAGCCCAAATGGATCAAAGACCTCAACATAAACCCACCCACACTGAACCTCACAGAAGAGAAAGTGGGAAATACACATGAACGCATAGGCACAGGAGACCACTTCCTAAACAGAACACAGACACTGAGAGCAACAATTAATAAATGAACGTCCTGAAACTGAGAAGCTTCTGTAAAGCAAAGAACACAGTCAACAAGAGACTAAATATGTAAAATGCAGATAGTCAGGACACTAGAAAGAAGAGAACTCTATATAGGTGTCACCAAAAGGTGCAAGATATAGAAGACCTTGTCAGCTGTCACACTGCTTCCATCCATGTGAACTTGGGGATTTGAGACATGACGGCCCTGAAGGGATTTCCTTCCACACATATGTGCCTAAGCCCTTTACTACCTCAACTGCTGTCTTAGCTTTTTATGTTGGTAAGTATGAGCTGTACTAGTCTCATCAATTTCCTTAATTCCTTACTTGCAAAAGCTGTCAATCAAGTTACCCTCATCTTCTGGTTTTCATTTGTTATTATTATCATTCCATGCCAAACACCTGATGCCAGTGATAAGAACATATTTCTGGTTCTATAAACTTAGGGGGTTGTTTTTGTGACAAAGTCTTACCTCCCAGCTCCTCAAACCCCTCCTGCCCAATTCTTGAATTTGCTAGTATTACAGGCATGGTTGTGTCTGCTGACTGACACTCCATGCTGTGGGTAATCTCTGAAGTTAGTGAGCAGCTCTCATCATCCTCAGACTTTTACCTCCTCTTGTTCCTCTTCATCGTATTCCTCTTGCTCTGCATCATCATCGTCGTCCTCGTCATCACCGTCTTTATTCTTTTTGCTCCCTTCTTTCTCCTCGTTTTCCTCATCTGATTTTTCACCATCGCCTCTCTTTTCTAATTCCTGATAAAGGGAGATGCATCACTTTCCAATGAAACAGCTAATCTTCTTGATCTACACACCCCGCCCAAAGAGAAAAGTTATGGATCATTGTCGGCTAAGTATAAGTTAGCACACCCTCCAGTCCCACCTCAGGACCTGGGTGTACTCAAGGAAAGGTCACCCACCAAGCTGTTACTGCACTGCTCATTCTTCAATTTTGCTACTTAGCCATTGGGCCTTGCTACCCTGGGGTTAGTATTCTAATCCACAATGAGATTAGAATAGATTCTAATCCACAATGTGACACGATTTAGTTTATCCCCTTCCCATCTCCTTGGTCTTTCATTTCTTCCCATTCCCAAGATTTTCTGCTTCATGATACATTTGGAAGGTTGTGAAAAGGGAATTAAAACCCATGTAAGAGAACACATCAGCGATTATGAGCCATTCTAGAAATAATGAAGCCTTGACTGCTGGATGGTTCTTGCTGATACTTGAAAACTCACCATGCCACCACCTCACAATTTTAATTTTATAGACACCTCATTACCACCATTTTTTTTTTCAACTAAGAAAAGTGATCCATTTTTATTACTGTCACTATCAGTTCACTAAGATAAGTTCACTATCTCATTTTACATAAGGGGCAGATTTTCATAGGTTTCCTGTGAGATGGGTACAATAACCATTTTGTATCTTTATACTTAAGGCTTCATATGACTAATTTCTGATTGGTCTTAACCCAGTAATTAGAAGAGTAATTACATTAATAAAAATGTGTAGGTATTCTCCACCTCTCTTTAAGACCTTGTCAATTACTCATGAACAAGAGCAGTTTTTCATCCAGAATAACTGCAACTTAGCTCTTCTTTAACTCCCTAAATATTTACTTTAAAATTTTTTTTAATTCTTGCCGGGCGTTGGTGGTGCACGCCTTTAATCCTAGCACAACGGAGGCAGAGGCAGGCGGATCTCTATGAGTTCAAGGTCAGCCTGGTTTATAGAGTGAGTTCCAGGACAGGCTCCAAAGCAATACATAGAAAACCTGTCTCAAACAAAACAAACAAACAAACAAAAAATTCTTTTAATTCCAACTTGAAGTGAAGAAAATCATAGGCAAAGAAAAGGCCACATTAAACAGACCCAATTTAAAAGGGTGACTTTTGAATGTTCATATGTGCATGAATGCACGTGTGTACATTAATATGTTCATGTGTGTAGACATGCATGTGAAGACTGGAAGATGACATTGGATATCTTCCTCAGTCAGTCTCTACTTAGTTTAGGAAAACAGGTTCCGGCTGGTTTTGGCAGTTCACTGCGTGCCTTAGGGATCCCTTCTCTCTGTCTCCCAGATGCTGGGATTGCAGGTAGCTGCAGGCCCACCTGGCTTGGTGTGTACACTGGGGCTTGGAGCTGCAGTCACTTTGCTTGCACAGTGAATGCTTTATCATCTATTGAGCCACCTGTCAAGCCCATAACGCTCACTTTTTAAATAAATCAAGATATCTTGCTTGCAACTCACCTCACTCAGGGAGAACAAATTAAAATCAAGACTACCACATGCACAGGATGGGTTACACTGATAACAAACCTGGGGTTGCCTTGGCAGTTATTACAGCAATATCATGTGTACAATTTCCCAACTGTCAGTCTTCTTGGAATATCCCAAGTGAACAAAATTTTCACAAACTTTTGAAACATCTGACATATACAATCTTAATCCATTTTAATCTGTACCACATACACCCAAGTCAAAGCTATAAAGAACTTCAGCAGACCGAAGTAGAAGAGGTGTATGACTTTTACTGTGATCCCAAGGACACATGCTTGAGACATTGCTACATTCTTTTCAACAATTAACGGCTTTGGCCTTTCCACTTTGCAGCCTCCATCTTCTTTTCCATGAGATTTACCTACTAAGCTTACTCTACAGGTTTAATGGGAAAAGGACTGAAATAACATAACCTCTTAAAAACAGTTAAGATGAAGACCCAGAGCAGGTCTTCTAGCTTAGACACTGTGTGCAAGGAGCCTTCCTTGTGGAATGCAGAAATAAAGCGTATCTCTCTTTGTTGCCAAAGGACTGCATGTAAGATTTGACCTAATGTTGCTGGCTACCTCCATCCAGAGATGATGTTACAATAAAAGGTGAAGCTTTTTGTGTTGTTGACAACCAGGGACAATCATTGCTCTGTTAAAACTGTACATGGGCTAAGACCTCTATGTTTAGAATGTTCTGGGAAAGGTGGTAAATGTAGGCAACAATGAAGCAGTTTGCCCAAAGGAGAAACCACAGCCAAAGCACTACAGAGCACTTAGCATTTTACAAAACTCCAAACTGTATAAGCAGGCACGATTTGTGGTTCATAAATTCCACCTGTCATTCCACCTAGTTAACCCTGACAGTTATTCCAATTCCCTCACTGATCTTCCAGATTCTATATTTTGGACATATTATGATCCAGTTCAAATACTGTTCCAAAACTAGAACAATTAAACCAGGAGCTTTCTATCAAGTAGATGTGCTGAGGAGGTCAGTAAGAACATACTTAAACTATTAACTTTCTTCTGTAAGTAAGAAATAAAACAACCCACCTGTCTGCTACATACATACTCTCGAGGACAGGGTATATAAAGAGCTCATCAAATTGCCTGGCATGTACAAGTTCTCAGTAAGTGTGACTATAATTACCATCATCAAAACAACCTAATATAAGGAAGTGCATGGCATAACCACCACGAGATCAATGTGCCAGTCACCAACTGTTTTCTACAATACGAAAATACAACAGGTCTACTTCTAAAAACTACTCCTGTGAAGTTACATACTTATTATAAAGTCACAGTATTGTTTACAATAGCAAAGTATGAGAAGAAACAGTATTCTTCAGTGGAGGATTAACGAAATTGCTAAGTAACTATGGTTCACTCTAACAGTGCTGCCAACGAAAGGAGAGATAGGGTAGGGTTAGGGTTTGCGATAGGGTTTGTGTTAGGGTTAGTGTTAAGGTTAGGGTATGGCTCGGGTTAGGGTTAGGTTATGATTATGGTTAGAGTTAGAGTTAGGACATGGAGCCAGGCTCATGACATTTTATTAAGTAATAAAATAAAAATGCAGGAGTGTGACATACTATCTGTGTTATTCAAATTGGGGGATTCAGGCTGGGTACTTGGCTCAGCAGTTAAGAGCCCCACTGATCTTGCAGAGGATTCAGGTTTACTAACTCCAGTCCCAGGGGATCTGACCCCTGCTTCTGACATCCACGGACACCAGGCACTCATGTAATGCACATACATACATGCAGGCCAAACACTTACACACATAAAGTAATAAAATAAATTTTAAAGATAAAAATTATGAGGGAAAGTTCTGTATTTTTATGAAAAAAATATTTCTGAAAGGATATATAAGAAATGTAATTTTGGAGCTTACAGCAAAAAAAATAAAGAGTATGAATAGAGATGAGAGAACATATTTTTAAGGTAATAATCTAAATTTTGTTTTGCTTTTGCTTAATGATAGGAGTATAAGTTCCATAGAGTACCAGCTTTTCCTCAATAGAGTCTTCTATTTATACTGCAAAACACTGGCCATGTGTGTGTGTGTGTGTTAGAAATGTATACACCGACAAAAGGAAAGCCAGGACTTTCATAGAGTCACATTTATTCTCTCTCTTCAGGCAAGCTCCAATCTCATACGAGGGGACATTAAGGACACAGTAAAAGGAAAGCCTGGGGTTGAGGGTGATGCTTAAAAGGAAGAAGAGGAAAAGAGGACAGCTCAGGGAAGATGGTAAGGCAGGGGCCATGTGTACTCTAGCATAGGGGCTCTTTCCTCCACACTTAAGTGTTGGTCTTTCTTCTGCCAACTCTGCATTATTAAGACGAGAAGGCTGAAAGGTAGAAAAAGAAGGATAGCTTTTTCTACTTTTTTCAGTTCATGTTTCACGTATAACCTTACCTCGATTTTTTTCAACACATCTGCCGAATTAGTGACTGAAGGATCTCTGTCTGCAGCTTTGGCTATTCGGGATTTTGGATCCCCTGCAAGGAAACAACCAGCTGTTAACAGATCTTCCACAGGAACAGCTGGGTCCCTCAACCAGACAGCCACATCATTTCCAGTACAAATTAAGCTCCTCCCACAAAATCACCACACCTCACTAAGCTCCAAAAAAATGGTAATCTCTTTACAAGGTGTTTTCGATGACTACAACCAAGTATATTTTAACTAAGTACTGAAATTGCAGTCTCACAATTAATTTCATTGGACACAAAATCTGCTATCTGGTGACTATAATAATATGTGGAGGCCCTGCAAAGCCCCCCCCTCACCCCCTAACCTCCCACCCCTGCTCTATTGGAGTAGAGTCCATTTTAACAAAACCAGTGCTAGGCTGGGGTGAAGCAAAGAGTAGTGCAGGGTAAATGTGCAGTGGCTAATGGTGCAGGCTAGGAAGGAGCTTGTCACAAGAGCTGTCTTCAGTGAAGATTAAAATACTTTGCTTGTCACTTCACATCCATGAAATGACATGTTTCAATAGCTTTAGAATCCATGATTGTTTTACTCTATGCAAAATATTTCATTTTTGGGTTATTCTAAAACAGCAGGGAATAAGTGTATTACTTCATATGAAGACTGCCAATTACCGAGGAATTGTTATAAGCTATAAAACTTTTTCACGATGAGGAGGAATGATAATTGAACCAACACCCAAAAAGAAAAAAAAAAAAAGAAAAAGAAAAGAAAAAAACAAAACAAGAACAACACAGAAAAACTCTAGCAAAGACTTGTGTTAAAGTTGAACATTGAACACAGAAGTAACCTCTAGACTGCTTGTACTCCAAGCACAATATCACATCTGAATAAGATCTCAGTAAATACTATAATATGGATGGCAACCGCTACTAGCTAAAAATATAATTTGTTCACACCACATAGTATTTTTCTCTAAGGACTTTGTATGAAATTTCATGATAAATACAACGATTAGATGAATACTACAAAAATTGATCAGCTGAATATACATATACATGGAAAAATTACTAATTTCATTTTAAAATATTTTATATTTGTGTGTGGGGGGAGAGAGAGAGAGAGGAAGAGAAAGGGAGGGGGAGTGACAGAATGAAATGTCAGCTCACTTGGAGTTGGAGTTAGACACTGAGAGAGACGGGGTGTGTGTGGGGGGGTGGGGGGGATGTGTGTGTGTGTACAAGAATGGAGTGTCAGGTCTCTTGGAGTTGGAATTACACAGAGAGAGAGAGAGAGAGAGAGAGAGAGAAAGAGAGAGAAAGAGAGAGAGAGAGAGAGAGAAAGAGAGAGAAAGTATTGGGCCAGACTAGACTGAGGTATCAGCTCTCTTGGAGTTGGAGTCACTTATGAGTCACTTGATGTGGGTGCTGGGATCTGAACTTTGGCCCTCTAATTGAGTAGGAAGGACTCGTAACCACCAAGTCTTCTTTTCGGGCCCATAGTTACTGATTTCCTTACTAAAATCGAAGAGTACCAGATTCTATACCACTCATCTTTCCTTATTTTGGTTTTAATACTTAACTCATGAACACACATTCACATTCAGGGGAGAAGTATCAAATCACCAATATTACAGAAAGATGATTTTTATCCTAAAATGTTGACATGAAAATTTCCCATAGTTAACGTCTTTTTCATATAGTGCACATCCTTGAACTTATCTCTTTCGGTATCTGTTAGAAGCTGCTTCCTCAACATACCTCTGCTACCTGAGAGTCCTCTGTCACTGTCTACTTTCATGTAGATCAATGGAGGCCATCACAAAAGGGAAGATAAAACTCAAAAACTATACTTCATACAATTAAAAATATTAGCCCAAACTGGTAAAGAAAATTTAATTGTTGATTTGTTTTTCAATAAATGGAAATCCTTACCAACAGAAGATAGTAGTAACATCTACAAATATTTTGCATTCAAGCTAAATAGACATGCACTTTAAATAAAATGGAAACACTCCCACCTTAAATATATATGTACCTATTTAATGTGTACTTTAAATATGTGCTCTTTGTTGTATGTTCATACTGACTATTAAAAGGGGCAGGGGGAAGGTTTCTCATGGTTGCTAACCACCTGTTGTCAGCATCTTTCCTTTCTCTCTTCATTCTGCACAGGAAGTCTCTGAAGACAGAACCAAGTTGGCTGTCTCCTGGTCAATAACCTCCCTTGTAGTTTGACGCAATCCAAACTGGATATAACCTCTCCAAGGATCCTAAAAAAAATATCTCCCCAAGAACAGGTGTGACTGACATTAAAACAAGATTGGAGTGGACATTAAAACAAGACCTGGAGAGATGGCTCAGTGGCTAAGAACTTGCTGCTCTTCCAGAGGACCAATGTCATAAAAGGTAGTTGGCTCCCAATAATCTCATAGAAATGGGACTATTAGGAGATGTGGATTTGTTGGAATAGGAATGGTCTTGTGGGTGGAAGTGTGTCTTTGTGAGGGCAGGCTTTGAGTCTCATATATGCTCAAGCTATACCCAGTGTCTCAGTTCACTTCCTGTTGAAAAGACGTGGGACTCTCAGCTACTTCTCCAGTACCAGATCTGCCTGCATGCCGTGTTGCACAACATGATTAAAATGAACTAAACTTCTAAAACTGTTAGTAAGCCACCCCAATTAAATATTTTCTTATGTAAGAGTTACCATGGTCATGGTGTGTCTTCACAGCAATAAAAATCCTAACTAAGACACCAGAATTCTGTTCCCAGCACCCACATCAGAAGGCTTATAGCCATCTGCAACTCCAGCTCCAGCTGACAATGCAATACCACTTTCTGGTCTCAGCCAGTACTTGCACGTAAGTGACAAATAAACTTAGGAATTCACACATACATATAAAAAAGAAAATTAAAAACTACAAGATTTTGAATCTTCAACTCCCTTGAGCAGTATTGTTCTGCCTGTGCGGAGGCACTCTCTCCTGCTGAACACATTCTGCTCTCCCAGCTTTGTCTTCCTCTCTTGTCTTCCCTTTCTTGTTGATTTAGTCTTCTCCACTATTTCTTTTAAGTTCTGCAATTCCTTTATGTTCAGCCCGTGGCCCTGCTCTCTTTTGATAATCTAATTTTCCCACGACTATTTTATCAGTTCTCCTGATCTCTAGGTTCCTTCCTGTGCTGATGAGCACAGTTTCTCTTCACAGACCCATACCACTCCATCGCCACAGTCAACACTCTAGGGGTATCTCAAAATACCAACAAATACCAAGTCTCAACCAAACCTGGGAATTCACCTACCAACATGTCTTTCTCCAAACCCTTCCCAATACAAACCCCAGTAAGCACCCAACCACCTTCAATGGCCACTCCAGACACACTTTCTTGAAACCTTCCCCAGACTTCCCCAAAAGACATATGGTTTTGTTTTGCATCTTGTTGCTTGTATGTGAGTGTGTGTGAGCCATGGGTGCTCACTTGGAGGCCAACAGTCACTGGCCTGCATAGCACACTCTCTTATTTTGGGGGATAGTGTCTCACTGGTCCCGGAGTTCATGGGGGTCTTCCCAGGTGCCTGCAACTGTGCTGAACATTTTTATGTAGGTGACAGAGATCTGAACTGGGGTAATCCATGCTTGAGAAGCAAGTACTTAACTGACTGAGCCATCTCCCTGGCCCCTTTCAGATTTTTCCTCCACCTAATTACAAACTCCAAGACACAAGGGCAGTCCTACCTACATGGGCTCTGTTCATTGTGGCACAGTGACTGCCAAAATAGCAGACACTCAATTATTTATTGACTGGAATTAATAAAGAACAAATATAAAAATATATATTTGGTACCCTTTTATCTAAGATAAAATTCTATTTTATCAGCTCCTCAATGTTTCCTAGTGAGTTATATCTTTCTTTTTTTGTATTAAATAGTTTATTAATTCTTTGAAAATTATGCATCTATACAATATAGTTTGTTCCTACTCATCCTCCCTCCTCCTATTAACTCCTTCCACTCTCCTTCCCAGCTTTAAGTCCTTATTTTTTCATTAATCCACTGACTCAAGTCAAGACCTATTGGTGGCCACACTGTTAAAGAAAACTGACTCTCCTCCCCCAACCGCCAACAACTAACTGTCAACGAGATGAAATCAAGAAGGTCCAAATGTCAACAGCAACCAAGCTCCAGTACAATAATCAACATGCCAGACATACTTCAGGAGAAAGACTTCATAGTCCTGAGGAGAGCTGCAGGTTGACTTCTGTATTAATAGAGCTTAAGCAACAATCATTTCCACCCTGGACTAAGTCATGTTAGTCAGCATACCTTTCTTGCATTTTTTCCTCGGCATCATCTCTCTGGGAAGTCTTCTCCAGTCTGTGTGTATAAAGGAAAGAATAAAAAATTTCAGTTTCCTGGGTGTCTCTGGACCTAATTGATTAAAGAACAGGTTTAATGGCAGCTGCTCTGGCAAAGATAGCGAAATTTCCCAGAGTCTGATTGTACAGATTTAGCCTGGACCATAACAAAACAAATATAAAAAGAATGCACAGTAACACAGTTTCTCCTGTGAAGAAAAACAGCTTTGAAATGTTGCAATAAAGAGTCTTGGAAAGACATCTTATGCAAATTTCTGATGGATGTTAAGATCACAACTGTTTTTGGTAGATATTATTTGGCTACTTTGTATTTTGTAAGTTGTAACATTGTTTTCAAAAGTTAAGGGATGTAATCAAACCCAATACATATAACACAATTTTAATAATGATCTGAAATTTTTCAATTAACAATACTACTGGTTGTGAACATGTAAATTCTCTCCAATAAATGACTTTCAGTTGTAATAACTAAACAATTCCTTTATTTATTTTCTTCAAATTGTGAGGAGGGTGTTAGTAATTGAATTTGGGGCCTCATAGAGCCTTATTTATGCTAGGCAAATATTTTATAATCCTTACCCCATTTTTAGTTTTTAATAATAGAAATAGATATAAAACTGAAACTATGTAAATACAAGTTTAAAAGGACTAGAGAGATGGCTCAGTGGTAAGAGCACTTGTTTTTCCAGAGGACCTGAGTTCAGTTTCCAGCACCCAGGGTAGGTGGTTCACAGCCATATGTAACTCTAGCTCTAGGAGATCTAAAGCCCTCTTCTGGCCTCCTCAGACACCTACACACACACATGTGGTGTAAACATACACACATACACAGAGTAACAATTTTTGAAATACTCAAAAAAGATATAAAGATATTGGCTGCTAATAAAGAAATGCCAGGGTATTTATACAAACTTGCACCATTTTACCTGTGGTGATAAATTTTGCTTTGAGTATATTTGAGTTTCAAACTTAGACCATGAGAAAGTATGTAAAAAGGATGATTTGGGAGAGGATTTCCACCCTCTCCCTACATCTTAAGATCAACAGGAAAAACACCCACTCTGCCCTTGAAAGTGATGATGTAGTTGATGGTGTCTGCACATTTTCCTAAAGGCAGTTTCTATAAACATTACTGTCAGAGACACAAAAGGATGAAAGCGTAAGTGACAGCAGTTTTTGTAAGAAACCCTGATGGGTTATTTTGTTTCTATGGCAACTATTTTCTGTTTACAAAATAAACTGGTTGAATGACATTTCCTCTAAAGCCCCTCCATCTTGTCGATTGTAATACTTCTGAATGCTAACAGAAGCCATCCATTTGTTCCTATTGAAACAGTATATTAGCAGCTAAAACTTGCCCATGTGTCCTCGAATAACAGAAAGCTTTACTCAGGAGCTTGGTTTAAAATATCCTTCAAGTTGGGCATTGACTTTCTCCTTAAAAAGTCTCAAATCTTGGGTTGGGGATGCACCTCATTTGGTAAGAGTGCCCGCATACCATGGAGGGACCTTACACTCAACATCCAGCACCACAGAGAACTGGGTGTGATGAAGCAGGCCAGCAGAGGACACAGAAGGGTCAAAGGTCAGCCTGGGATACATGAGACCCTGTCAACAAAGCCTACATCTAAAAGACTGGGCTGGCTGAGAATCAGGAGTTCTAGGCTGGCACTGACTATATAGGGTAAAGGGTATCTCAACAAACAAGAAAACTTTAAAATCAACTAGAAACTAAGAACCAAGTGTTTTTTGTATTACAAATTAAAGTTGTGATTGTGGCTAATGAAAATCTAACTAGCAAGTCCTATTCATACATACTACATACATACACACACACACACACACACACACACACACACACACACACAGATCATATATTTTATAGGTATAATATATATAGTATATTTTACATGTAATATATATATATATACACACATATATACATATATATATTACAAAACACACTTCAGTACATTCTGTTTACAGTGTAAAAATCTTTCTTCTTAGTTTCCAAGTGATTTTCATTATTATTATTTTATTTTCATTTATTATTTTCATCATTATTAATTACAGCAAGGAAAAAAAGACTACTTTCTTACAGTTAAAAACAAAACATCTAAGAACTCACTACATTTTTGTGTAATAGGAAAGGGGTCTTTAAGAAGTACTTTAAGGGGCTGAAGAGGAAGCTCAGTGTTAAGAGCTCTTGCTTCCCATCCAAAGTTCAGCTTCAAGCCCCAGCAGGGAGCTGGAAACCAACTAGCACTCCTGTGATGAGAGCTCCAGGGTATCTGACTCCTTCTTCTGGTCTTCATGGAGCCCTCACAAACATGGCATAGACACACACACACATCCATTAATAAAACTAAGATGAAATATTTTTAAAAAGTATTTTAACATGGTCTGTTTTATAATACCTGGTATCCATTCTTCTTTGTATACCTTCATATATCGTTTACTATACCTTTCAATATCATCTAGGGTGAAAGAAGAAAAAGCATTCATTAGAAGAATAAAAACATAAGCCTTTCTTTAAAATAGCTTACGCCACCAGATAAATCTTTTGTTTTCATATATTCCCTACATTTGTATATAACATATGTAACGGAACCAATACTGACAAGTTCAATTGATTAATATGGTTACAAATGTGGCAAGAGCAAGCGTGGGGTAGGCAGAGACATCAGCCTTGAACCTGGTTCACAGAATGAGACAGTCTGCCTAGCCTGTGAGAATCTTCACAGAAGTTCAGAGTCACATCAGGAAGCCACTCCCATACAAAGGTAGAAATATACTCAGTGTTTTCTGTTCTTGCATTCCTTGCCTCCTATCTAACTGTGTCTCACTGTGGTACATCGATACCGTAGTGGAACGGAGGGCTAATGGCTCACCTCTAGTGTTTCCTATACACAAAATCAGACTGTGAGGTTCCTCAGCACCTCACAACAGGGAGGAAGGCTAGAGATAAGAAGGCAGAGTGTGGTGAGAAGTTACTTGTTGGGGAATCAAGTGTGTCAGCTATAAGCCTTCTACAAACTACTTAAAGCTCTATAGATACCACCTGAACTTGCCAGCGTCAGCTGAGCTACAGCTGTGTCTTGCTTCTGCTTGGTCAGCTTTGCCAGACAACCCCGAAAATAACCCTACCCTTTCCATAAGCAACACAAGTTGGTAAAGAGAACCATGACACAGACATTTGAAAGCATGGCTCACCATAAAAAGGGGCTCAGGTAGCAATAAAATGACTCATAATGACATTCTGCTATACAAATAGATCAATACCTCACTCAACCCACACTAGAGAAGTCTCATCTTGAAGTAAGTAAGAATTAGAGACCCATATCAGGGCAAAGTGAGAGACAGACAAGTGTGTGAGCACGCGCGCGCGCGCGCGCACACACACACACACACACACACACACACACACACAGAGGAACGCTCAGGCCTGAATGGGATGTCTTCATGAAAGTCCTCTCCTCAGGCTCAGAGATAAGAAAAGAAGGTCGCACAGTCGGAAGAACCAGAGCTGACGGATAAGTCGAAGCAAACAATGTTTTAACAGGACTGATGCACACGCGAACTCACAGAGACTGTGGCAGCACATAGAGGGCTACCCAGGTTCAAGACACATGGGGTTCCAGGCCTAGGAGTGGGAAGTGGACACAGGATCCCAGCCCTAACCAAGAAAATATTTAGAATTGCTATCCACTGGCAAAGGGAAAATCAATTTTCTCCTGTTCCTTCTTTGTCATTAGGTATACTGATCATACTCCAAAGCAGCCCCAATGCCCAGGAGTGATTGGACAAAACAAAAAGCCTGCCTACAGATTCTGTATGAGCCTTGCCTTTGTCCAGCACCTCCATGTCACATGCTCAGTCATCAATGGCAGCACCACAGTGCCAGTACACAGGGTTAGGTAGTGTCTGTGGTTTCAGGCATGCTTTGGGGGATGTGTTGGAAGATACTACTCATTGTTAGAGAGGAGACCGCTGTGCCGTGTTTGCTTCTACACATACATATAAATGCCTGCATATATTTAAAACTGTATTTGAACCACAGTGCTTTTTCAACCATACCACACCATATCAGGAAAGAGGAGCAGAGAGAATGATAAGAAGAGTTTTTACTTCTATCTATTTGGAAAATCCTATATAGAATTTTCTTATGGGATTAAGCAAGTAAGCAAGTATCTTTTTAAATTTTATTACATATTTATCAAGGATAAAGTGCCCCCTTGGTCCCACAGACTAAAACCACTTCTTAATGACTGTGGCGATTGCATGAAAATGGCCTGATAGGCTCATATGTTTGAATGCTTGGTCCCCAGTTGATGGGACTCTGGAAAGGTGTGGCCTTGTTGGAGGAGGAGGTATGCCACTGGGGATGGACTCTGAGCTTTCCAAGGCCCACTTGAGCTCTCTGCTACTGCTTCAGTGTCATTCCTGCCTGCCACCGCACTGACCATGACCTAACTCTCTGAAACTGTGAGCAAGCCTCCAATTACATGCTTTCTTGTAAAAGCTGCCTTGCTCATGGTGTCGTCTCACAGCAATAGAACAGTCACTAAAACAATGACCCTACCTGAAAGAAAGACTCATAACTGCCTGAATGAGCTGGTATATTTCTCAGTTAGACATGTATTTTAATGAATAAACTGCATTGGCTAAACATTTTTTTTTAATCTAAGGAAAAGTCTAATTTTAGTAGAATTAAAATATACCATGCGTTGCTAATTTCTAAAATAAAAAATGAGTACTGATTGGTTTTTAAAACATAAAATTTGATTTTATTTTTAAATCCAGACAAAAGCATGCAACAAAATCAAGAAAATTTAAAAATAAAAATCCTTTCCTGTTGAGGGAAAATTTATCAAATCATTCTATATGCTCAAGCACATAAGTTATCAAGATTAAACTTGGGCAACATGCTTCTTAAGAAGACATGTAATACTATCATCTATATACTTCCTTTTTGACTCAGCCAATGTAAGACTCTTAGAAAGAAATAAAAAAAAAAAAAAAAAAAGAACAGCTTTAATACTAATGGCATGAGCTGGTACTATATGAATTTCTCATGTTTTAATGATGTTGTTCCAAGAACTCAAAGATGATATTGATCTCTCTAACAATCAATACATTTTTATTGTGCTTGAGAACTACTCACGAGCAGCCTCACTTCCTCTATAACCACTTTCCCTTTCTTGTCTGAGCTGCTGAGCCTTCCCAAAGTGTAATTCGTCCTGTCTACCCTCAGCATCAAGAATGAACACATTTTATACTTTACGTCATCAGAATATAAGCAATAAACCAAAAATCAAGGCTTTTAAAGTTTTATAGCCTAAACTGTCAATAATCAGAGGCATCCATAAAAAGTTATGTACTGTGGTAATAATCACAGCATTGCAAAGCTAAACAAACAAACAAAAAAAATGGAAAAAACACTTCACTCTATCAGCAGGAATTAGTGATAATTAGTGTATTATCCACATAATGGAATAACATAACCATTAGATTGTATTTTCTAAGACTTCTAAGAATATTTTAAAAGGTATATTACTGCATTGTAAGAAGACACAAAGTATTATGGATAAGTTTGCAGAGAGAAACTCATGGAAGAGAAACATACAATAAAATATAAACGTTGCCCTTTTTGATTTCTGATAAGTAATTTTTTTCAAGTTGGTGGTACACACTGTTTCCTCCATTAACACTAAATCGCCTCCTCCAGGGCATAATACATACCTTGCTTTTCCGCAGGTGTTTCAATAAAATAAGGCATGCGTTTCACCGTCTCTCTCAGCTCTTGCTTCAAGGCCAGCATGTAATCCTCATCTTCTCCTGTTTTCAGGGGCACTGCTTTGTAATCTGTATCCTGTTCAAATTAAGAAACCAGGCCTATTTAAATAAACTAAGAATTTTAGTATTTCTCTTATCCAGGACAATGTTGCTCTTACTGAAAGATTACTCTTCGTTAGCACTACACTTCATAATCAACTAGGAAGCTCTTGAGTGTCTACACAGGTGAGGTTGTTCACTCTTTAATCTCAGCACTTGGGATGCTATGGCAGAATACTGCTTCCAACTCAATGCAAGCCTGGGCTATAAAGTGAGTTCCAGGACAGAACAGGCTACAATGTAAAACTCTGCCTCAAAATTTTAAAGATAACAAGCTAATAAGATGTTGAACTCTATAATCTAGCTATTTAGCCCATTTTCCTACTTTATTCTCATTTTAGGAAAAAGATTCCACACATTCAATATTTATATGCATGTGCTGGTATGAATATATATTCATTAAAAAGTGGGCTCCCAGCACACATGCATATGGTTGAGAGGGTAAAGGTATAGTACATTTCCAAAGACAGATTCTGAATTTACTCAGGCATTCCAAAACTATTTCTTGAGCAGTTACTGTGTACTAGACAACAGAACTTACATCTTGGGGAAGGAACACATAATTAAATAAACAAGAGGTACAATAAATTTCAGATCATAAAAACAAATACAGAAAGGACACAGGACATGACATGGCAGTTGGTGTAACACAAATAATAAAAACTCAGAGACAGATATTGGGATTCAAGCTGGAGATCAGAAAAGCAAGGCAGCCGAGCTATCAGAGGGCTCTTACCTCTACCATATTGTCCTCAATATGGCTGAAAACTAATTCCTAGAATACAGCATGAGACACTTGAGTTCCTATCTTATATACCCCTCTAGTGCTGGGATTAAAGGTGTGAGCTCTGTTTCTCTTTTAGGCTGATTCACTCTCATGTAACCTATGGTGGCTTTGAACTCACAGAGATACGTCAGCCTCTGTCTCCTGAGTCCTGGGATTAAAGGTATGTGCCACCACTGCCTGGCCTCTATGGCTGTGGCTGGCTTTGCATTCTGATCTCTAGGTAAGCTTTAATAGATCATAAACAATGTATCACCACAGGTTGGTGGTGGCCAATTTGCACAAGGTAAGCATGTATATAGCCTCTTGTGGAAGTCATGTTTGGACAGTGATAAGGACAAAATCAATCAACTGTTCATGCAAAGAAAACAGGTAGGGATCCAGCAGGAACAAAGACCAGAGAGGGGAAGGGATCCAGCCCAGCTGGGACTTGAGAGAGACAGTGATGAGGAAAGATTAGCGACATGAAAGAAGGCCAGGGCAGGAACAGCCTTCTAGCCAATAAGTTAGTTTTACCCCCCGCAACACACACAAAAGTGATGCTATGAGCTTTCTTTCCCACTGTTTAGAGCTAATCTCACACCCAGTGGCCTTATTTTGAGGGTAATCACTATAAATGAATATTATGCCCATACCTGAGATACTTGTTTTCAAGTTTATTTGAGTATTAAAGGTAAAATATGAAAAGCAATATAGGGCACAGGTGCTATGAAAGAAGGAAGGGGGTCCCTTCAAGTAGGAAGGGGAGGGGAGGGTCCTATAGAGGGAGAGGGAGGAAAGAGAGATAAATGACACTAAGGATGCTTGAAAAAGCCATAGGGAAACATTATTTATAACATAAGATTGTATATATGTGTATATGAACATATAGTTTAAATGGAGTTATAGTAACCAGAATAATAATGGTCCCCAAGATGCACCCCAAATAATGTAGGCTATTGCCACTGCCCTTCTCTGCCTCTAGCACTTTGAAGGACCTGGGGGCATCACCCGGAAGCCCCCTCCCTGAGGATTTGCTCCTGTGTACTGGAGGGCGCTATGTGAGCTGTCAAAGGAGAAAAGCAATCAGTAGTCCCACCCAGCTGTAAAGTCCATCAACAACAGTGACTGGCCAAGCAGCAACACACCCCAGTGGTGCAAATAAATGGCTCTTTCAACTTGGGGGTAACCAATAGCTGTCCAACTGGACATAAGGCCCCATTCAATAGGGGGAAATTCATCCCTGATACTGCAAACCCAGCCAACTACTCATAGCTGAAGATGTTCCAGACCCTAGAGAAAACCTACTATTGTCAGTACCCTTGACTAATATAATTCCTAACTGTATTCTAAACACAATTATCCTTACACCCACAGGTAGATGTAGTTCTCCGCACAGGAGCTTCTTTCTGTAGCACACAGAGGCACTTATAAAGATCCACAACTGTTCAAAATGCAGCATAAGAGACCCTGGGGTGCCCATCAAAAGCAAAATCTCTACACCTAAACCTCGGGGGACATCACAAAAGAGTGTGTGGAAAGATGCAGGAGCCAGAATATTAGAATATGTGATGTGTGACAGTCTTCTAGACACGACAGAAGTCGCATCCCTGAAATCTCAACAGTGTGGTGGGTCAAGACAGATCTGCAAATTGACAACAGTTCACATGCCAAGGTGATGGGCATATTCCAAAACCCCTCCTCCTACTCCAGTTCTAGACAAAGAGCTACGGTCAACCAATTGCTGCTGAGAGAGGTAAAATCAGTTTTCTCCAATAACAAGGCCTCTACTAGGTTATTTAATGTCTAGTAGTCAGCCCTAACCCGTGTGTGTGTGTGTATGTGTATACATTTTATATATACATTATTGTACATATAAAGTGCATACATGTAACAACAAAATTATAGAAGTCATGAATTTGAGAAGGAGTAAGGAGGATATGGGAAGAGTTGGAGGAGACAAAACAATTTAAGTATAATATTCATGTATACAATTATCGTAAAATCCAAAATATTTCATTTTTTAAAAAGTATCTCTCTTTCTATGAGTGTCTAGACAAGGACCCATCTGTCCAGAGTTCTCTACTGCCACAGTCCTTCAACAAGGGACTTCTCCATATGAAACAGGAAAGGTTAACAGAGGGAATTAATTAAGAGGCTCTTGTACCTGTGAATGCTCAGCTTTGAGCAGCAGCCAGGACCCATCTGGAAATTTAAGCTACTGTTTTCAATTGAAACATCAGCTGTTATGTCATGTCATTAAGTTTAGAAGCAATCCCTAAAGTAGCAGAAATGTTTCTGTTCTGAGAAATTAGCAAAATGCAATGCTAATGAGATAAAACAATGATACAACAGCAATAAACTTGAATGAGACAAAAGGGGTATACTAATAAGGAGAAAACTTATTTTTTATAAATACAAATTATGAAGAAAATCACTGAGTGGATACATCAGGGGGCATCATAAAACTACTTAAAATATTATTTTGGTAGTTAGAGTATATTAACACCAGTAGAAGACACAACGATTTCAAATAATTTTTAGTTCACACAGTACTCATTATGTTGGTAGAAATGTGTATACTGTTTTGTTCTCTGTATTTGAACCAGATGTTTTAGTACAAGGGAGATGCAACATAGTCTTTTATTCTTAGACATGAGGATATCATGGTAGTACCATATATTTAAGCCCTAAATCCCCAAAACATGCAAAGATCCTTTGTGAAAACTGAGCTGTCATTGCACTTACAGGAAACAGTGGTGGTGGCTTCAACACAACATCAGGCAACTTTTCCCCTCTGCTGAAGCCAACAGCTTCAATATTAAAGGTGTAGGCAGCACGCCCTCTTCCTTTATTTCCAGCCATCAGAACCAATTATAGTAAAGGTGTGGACAAACCCTGAAAGATGGGGTTAAAATGGTAAATTTACTGAATTCTACGAAAAAGAAAATTAGCATTTTAAAGCAAAATTTAAGACTCTAGCCCTTATATAGCATGGCTGATTTAAGATACTTTTGTACTGGGTACAGGGATGTACGCCGAAGAATAGGCATAAAGATTAGAAGAGCCCACCAGGACAGAGGACTTCCAGGCACAACAGGACTGCAACAAATCACAGAGACAGGCAGTACACACAGCCTGCACAGGTTCAAGTTAGATGGGGCTCCCAGCACTGACAGGGAAGTAGAAACAAGCTTCCACCTGTAACAAAGAAACCAAGTAGATACAGGCCCCCACCCCTAACCCAGCAACACTTGACAATACATTTGATACATGCTTGCAAAGAAAAAATAAGTTTTCTTCAGTGGAGTTTCCCTGGGTATATTAACATTTCTGGGTAGGCCCCATGCCCAGGAGTAGTTGGACAATACAAAATAAACTCAATGGTAATGTTTTTTAAACTTTTGTTTCATACTTCTCTGTTAAGTTTTATTTAGCTGGTCTTCAGCTTGTATATCTGGCTTCCACTTTTGTGAAGGGTTTCTGGTCTGTGTTTCTTGGTTTTGCTTGTTTAATTTTGTTTTTTTAAAGAGAGGGAGAAAGAGCCAGGATGCTGGTTGTGCAAGCTTTTAACCCTAGCACTTGGGAGGCAGAGGCAGGCAGATCTCTGTGAGTTCCAGGCCAGCCTGGTCTACAGAGTTCCAAGACAGCCAGGACTACATAGTGAAAGCCTGTCTTGAAAAAGAGAGAAAGAAAGAAAGAAAGAAAGAAAGAAAGAAAGAAAGAAAGAAAGAAAGAAAGAAAGAAAGAAAGAAAGAAAGGGCATGGAGTTGGATGCATGGAGAAGATCTAGTAGGAGCTGGAGAAGGTAGGAAATGTCATTAGAATACATTGTATGAAAGTTTTTTTTTTTAATTAAGAAGAAATGTGTGTAGGAACAAGTGACCAAGATAGCTGAACTGTTCACATGCCATTCCTGTGTAGAAATGGGGACTAAAGGTCACAGCTCCTTCACTCAGGTCCTCAGGACAGGGCTGACCCTGGGTCTTTTTTGAGATGGTGCCTGAAATACTCAGGCAACTGACAGGGTTCCTTCTATCTCTCTATGGTCGGATAACAGGCTCTCAGATAGAAGGAAGAGAAGGAGAAGTGTGTGAGCGTATGCATGTGTGTGGAAGGGGTGCATTCTCCTATGCAGGCATGTGTGAAAGGAGGAGGTTGACATCACCGTTGAACATCTTAATTAATTGCTTCTCTATCTTATTTGAGGCAACATCTCTCACCGAACCTAGAGCTTGAGCCTGGCTCGCCAGTAAACCCCAGTGGTCTATTGCCCAGCACCATGGTTAGAGACATGTACCACTAGCATGCAAAGGCCCGATTCTTTAACTATGGGCTGTGGTCCTTTATGGGGTTGTAGAACTGTAGGTATCCAAAAAACTTGGCAATAATAAAAGGTTTCTGAATGAGCAACAACCAAAGATGTATTTAAAATGTAGTATGTAATGAATCCTCACCTGGTATCACTGCAGCCTTATAACTGAAGGAAAAACATGCACACTTGGCATCATACAGGCCTTCCCCCCACACAATGCAGCCAGCCACTGCCTGAGATACCTCAGCTCAGACGCACAACTACTGTGTGCTATAAACTGCAGTGAGTCTTTTGCTTTTATAGAAACATAAGGAAGACAAAGACTTTCAAGATTTTACAAAGACTTCTGTTTTCCGAGTCACTATTCAGTATGCATCAAACAAAACAAAACAAAACAACAACAAAAACCCCAACCCAGTAGATTGCATTGCTACAAAGTTTGATTTTAAATCCTGCTACTTGAATTGCTAACTTGATGTTCATAAAAACTTGTTTAATGGGTCCAGGCTTGGGATCACGACAGAATTTCCAATAATTTCAGAAAAGGCTCTAAGACATTTCTGCCAGTTTGTTTTCCAGGTGTGAAACGATTCTTATAGCACTAATGATTATGATTATAAAATTAAACTACAGAGAAACTCTGAAAATCTCTGAACATGCTTTACTTCCTACAATATCAACCAACAACTCAGCAAGATTTAGTTCTTCCAGCACAGGACCAACCCAGACCCCCAAACATGGGTCTCAGTTAGAAGGCCTGGGAGGTCTAAGGGACCTCTGACAGTGGAACCAGGATGTATCCCCGGCACACGAAAAAACTTCGAAACCCCATTCCCCATGGAGGGATACTCCCTTAGCCTAGAGACACAGGGGGGCCTAGGCCCAGCCCCAAATAACTTGACAGATTTTGATGATCCCTCATGGAAGGCCTCACCCTCCCTGGGGAGTGGATGGGGGATGGGATGTAGGTGTCTGTGGGGGACATGGGAGGATGGGAGGGAGAGGGAACTGCAATCGATATGTAAAATAAGAAAAAATATTAAATAAAAAAGTTTAGTTCTTCACACAACCACATCAACTTAGTAGTAGTCATATTTGCTTCTTTCTTAACAAATGGTAAAAGTATATGTATGCCAAGTGTTTCAAAATGAATTTGTGGTTACCAGTAAGTGTATAATATGTATACATATGCTTGCACATCCATATACCTGAGGTTGTATGCATTTATGATTACCAGTAAGTGTGTAATATATACACATATATTTGCATAACTATATATCTGGGGTTGTATAAAATTTCTCAGGTAAATAGGGGTCAATGAGTGGCAAAAGTTTAAGAGGCCCTACTCCAAAGTGTTGGACCTGGGGTGGCTTTTTCTGTGGAGTTCCATGTTCAACTGTGGTGACTACGAAAATGCATATTCCTGCCACTCTCACACTGCTATGTAATAGTGACTAGCATTTAACCCTGAGTGTCCAGAAGACTGATTTGATCTTGTAACCACTGAAGACTGGAGGAACTTTCACTTCTGCCTGCCTCGTGCAAATTCCTTTCTGCGGATCACATGGGCAACAGTATTTCCCACAGCTGCTGATTTCAAACCAGGTCTCTTGTCAGGGTGTAAAGACTTAGTCTTGTGGTTTTGTGACATTAATGATAAGGAAAGGCCTCCAAAAATAAACAAGGGGTAGCTACTTCTTTATGTTTTCTGATTATACTATAATAACCTGGTCCAAAAGCCTGGAAATCTAAGCTCCCTTCATTATGGGGTCAACATAAAAACAATTTTTGGCTGAGAGAAGGTGGCATGGGCCTTTAATCCCAACATTCAGGAGGCAGAGACAGGTGGATCTCTGTGAGTACAAGGCTAGCTTGGTCTACTGAGTGAATTCCAGGACTCCAAAGCTACAGAGAAACCCTGTCTTGGAAAACAAACAAACAAACAAAAACCAATTTTCAACCCTAGCCCTCATTTTCTAATGTCTTGGGTAGCTTGGGCTTCTAAACAGTGCAGTCAACAGCAGTCTCACTTAGGTAACTGTTGAAAATGAAAACTGTAGGGTCTTACTGAAAAGAAAAAGGGAATGGGGAGAAGATAGAGAAGGGGAGAGGAATGAGAGGCAGGCAGTCACACCCCGTAGGATAGGCTTCGGTCTGTAGTTACGTTTGAGTTCTAAGGAGGCCACTAGGTAGCTTTAATGCATGTGAAACTATCCACCAAATTACTTGGCATGAACATTAGGTAAAAGTGGTCTGAAAACCTACCTTCCTTCTTTCTTTCCTTCTTTCCTTCCAAGATTTACTTATTATACAGTGTTCCACCTCCATGTATGCATGTAAGCCAGAAGCAGGTACAAGATCTTATGATAGATGGTTCTGAACTACCATGTGGTTGCTGGGAGTTGAACTCAGGACCTCTGGAAGAACAGCCAGTGATCTTAACCTCTGAGCCATCTCTCCAGTCCCTGAAAAACTTTCTATTGACTATAATACAGAGCATGTGTTGGAACTTCTGGGAGGATCCTCTAGGGGAGTCTACCAGCTCAGTAGTTCAGTTAACACATGGCTAATAAGCTAACAGCATGTCCATAAGCCCCACCTCTAAGGCTTGAATTTATTAATTATCCTCAGTGACTTTTGTTTTTAAACTGATTTTGGTTTTTCAAACTTTGAAAAAAAAAATACTGTGAACTGACACACATCTAGAATGCAGAATGCCATAGGCCAGCCTGTTAATTTATTTACAAGAAATAAGCAGTATCAAATCACTGTACATTTTAAAGGCTCTGTGGATGCCAATGTTAATGATCTCACATCTAGGGCTGTCGCTATACACAGTAAAATGAAATCTGTGGTGAAATATAGTTTCCTCTCTTATGTGAATCCCTCAAGCAGCAGAGCCTTTGACTTACTATAAAGGCTGATGCCAAGAACATTTTCAGAAACAATTTCCTACTACACATTTTGTAAATGTATCATTATACATCTGTCATCTACATACTTGACATTTTCCTACATAAGTGCCTGAACATTAAGAAATGATTATTTAATACTGTTACTGTCACTGCAAAGTACAACTGTGATCTTTTTTCCTTCAACTCACCTTTGTGATACTATGTGTACACACACACACACACACACACACACACAGGACAGACAGCTTAATGAGAAAATACAATGCAAACCACTGTGGGAGTCAGTGTGGAGGTCTCTCAAAAGAACTTCAGTATGCACCAATTACAACCTCCTAGACACACACCCAGAGGACTATCACAGAGATACTTCACATCCGTGCTTAGAACACGTCTATTCACAGTAGCAAGAACTTGGAACTAGCTCAGCTGCCCATCAACAGCTGAGCTGTCCATCCACAAGGAATGGATAATGAAAATGCAGTATATATGCACAATGGAAATATATTCAGCCATAAAGAAAAATAAAATAAAATATAAGGGAAATATATAGTACTGGAAAATGCTTACGTTAATTGAGGTAGCCCAGGACAGGAAAGATTAATGTCGTCTATAGTCTGGTGTGCAGATCTTGGCTTCTGATTTTTCCATGTATGTGTATTTGTGTGACAGTAAGTTGTCAGAGGTCAGGAAACTGGAAAGGGGTCCATGACGCAAGAAGAAAGGAAGCCTTAAGGGAGAGGAGTGTGATAGAAGAACACATGTGCAGTAGTGGGAGGGGAGAGGAAGGAGTGAAGAGTTTGGAGCAGGAGAGGTGTTTGAAGGACCAGCCAAAACTAAGTATGAATGAAAATACTACAAGGAAAAGTCCCTGCTAATTTGTGAGCTAATTAACATTTTTTTTTACACACATGCAAAACTGTTACAGTCCTTTACTATCACTTTTTATGTAATCAGCATCTAAATTTCCTCACTTACCACATAAGTGAGTTTATAGTTCTTTTGTTCAAGACACAAACTTCACATGGCAGTTGGGATGACGTCTCTTCCATTTCCTTCCGGCTGCAAAGCTTCCCCTGCTCTGTTTTCCTTACTACTTGTTTATGGAAAAGGTCTCAGTCCTATAAAGTGCTCATCACCAGAACATGAAGGTCCAAGCAAACACTCATAATCTGATGCAGTTGGTCTTGAGCGGGGCCTAAGGACTTTCTACCACATGTTCCCAGAGACTTCACTGCAGCTGAGTACAACTCAAAATTAGCAATATCTTTCCACACTCTTGTGTTCGAAAGATCACCTACCTAGGTAGTTTAATACATTCCTCAGACCACTAATTCCAATGAACAGGTAGATTAAGAGGCTTCCTCAGATTCTGACTGACTTTCATTGCCAGGGTATTTAAGAAATATTCTGTTTTTTTCATTGACCTCTCTTTTCGTGGTAATCAGATGGTCCCTGAATTAGTTACTATGTCTTGCTTAGTATAGGATAGTCATCAGTTTCACCCATTGTCTACTATTTCACTACAGAGTACAAGATGGTGATATACATTTTCTACAGGGTTGCATCCTTGAACGATACATTTTTTTTTTATCATTTTCTATTTTGCTGATTGGAATTCTATTAGGAAATAATTCGTCTCATTTACCAGTTACCTTAAAAAACAAAGTTCACTCATGAAATTCATCTTAATATTGAAGTTAATTCTATCTATCTACTGTAAAAGAGGTAAAATATCCAAATGGCCTCATTCCAATTGCTGAGTCACCCAAACTTGCTGAGTCTACAAAAAGCTGCTGAGTTCACACCTTTACAAAGCAGCCTCAGGGGCCCAACACACATGGCCAAGATGACTGTGCTACATTCCAGTCAAGGATCTGTCACTAGTTAAAGATTAAGGACAAATCTAGGCAAAGTTTGCCAAACCTATCTGGTCACAGGAATTAAATGAGACATCTAAAACATATTGAATCCTGGAGAATAACTGGTTCTCAAACCTAATAAACCCATATTTTTGGAGTTGGGCCCTGAAAATAGTTTGGAAAATTCACTCCAAAAGAGTATCTTAGCTAACACAGTTTAATGGAATATTCCCCAAGAAATATGCTCTGCAGACTCTAACTTCCTATTTTTATCATGAAGTCATCGGGCATGACTTGATAACAGTAAATGTAATCTTCAGAAAATCCAATCCTAGCTCTTGAGACACACCCTTTGCAGATATCCTAGCTGAGTAGTGGTGGTGCACAACTTTAATCCCAGCACTTGGGAAGCAGAGGCAGGCAGCTCTCTGTGAGTTCAAGGCCAGCATGATCTACCAAGTGAGTTCCAGGAAAAGCTTCAAAGGTACACAGAGAAACCCTGTCTCAAAAAAAACCAACAAGTTTACTTCCATGCTAGACATTCTGGCTGTTAACAGACAGGGTGCAGCTTCTGTACAAAAAATACTTGGGCTGCTAATTCATTTCTTTTCCTGTTGCCAGGGACTAAGTTCACAAGTGAGGCCTAGGCATCAGTCACTTAAGTCCTTTACTTGGTTTATCCAGTCCAGTATACTGATTTTTTTTTCAAGATGTCAAACTTTTTCAGGGGAAAGAGTGTTATTGATACCAGGGGTTGCAATCAAGGGTTCTCATACACTGGCAATCATCTACTAACCTTCAGCCCTAGCCCTTAATTTTTATTGATTTACATGTTTAATTTTTGAGGCAGACTGGGCTTCAGTCTTTTCTACAGCCTAGGCAGGCCTTAAATTTATAATGTTCCTGCTTCAGCCTCTGTAATAGATGAGAGGTCAGGCTAGCTTCCAAACTTCTTGAATGAAGAGTTTTTGTTTTCTCTGTTTCCCTGTTATTCAAGTCTGTTTAGAATGGCCCAATTTAACTCAGCAATTTACTCAACTAGCAATGAGAATTTTGGACAAGTACCGAGCAGAGAGCACGAAAACATCAGTCACCCAATTTTTCCTTCAAAACATCCATTAATTTAAAATATTTTGGCATCCATATTTGTTATATGTGATCTCTATGTGTATCTGTGTCTGGCTGTCTCTCTCCAAGGTCTCACTATGCAGCCTTGGCTAAACTAAGAATCACAGTAGATTAAATCTCCTGTTTTTATAGAAGAGTTGAAGGTTCAGAAAGGTTATCTGGTGGTCTAAATAAGTTCCTTTCAACAGTAGGAATAGATATGCAATGTCCTATGTATATTTTCTTTTGGGAAGCACATATCTAAACTGGCTGACAACCTTTTTAACCCCAATGATGCAGGGTCAATGAGGGAAATTAGTAACTGCCAAAAGTTCTGAATTTTAAGATTTTATTTTAAATTTTTGTGAGTATGTGTACATGAATGTAGGTGCCTGCGGAGGTCAGAATATGATGTCAGCTCTCCTAGAGCTAGAGTTACTGGTGGTTGTGAACCACTTGGCGTGGAAGCTAGGGATTCTCTACGAGTGGCATGCGCTCTTTATGGTAAGCCATCTTTCCTGTTCCCCAAAATCTGAATTTAAAAATGCAATATCAACAAAGCAGCACCACCCTTTCCACCTCAGGATGCCACCTGGAAACTCCCTTTCAGAAGTTGTTGCAGGAGATCTGAAAACAGGCATTATTCAAGAGGCAGAAGTCTATCCTAACCAACTCTAACTACAATCTCCCGGGAAAGCATGAACTATTTGCTGCAGTTCTCCCTAGGTCTAAACTATCAAGAGTTATGATTATGACTTAAACGTACTGGTCTCATGTCGTACACATTAAAATCTTGCACATTTAACTGGATAAATAATGTCTGAGTTGCTGAAAGTCAAGCGAGCTATGGAAACCAGGCCACAGTTATCTTCGAATGGTTTGCAACTTGTTCTAGTCAAGGGCCTCTACTCACTCCACACTGTCTGTCTCCTCTGGTCACCGAGCAGAAGACTCCTAGATGGGTGTTCTCTGTTGCTCTCATCTGATCCTCCAAAATAGACTAGACTTCCTATGTTCAGATTCCCAGTTTCAATTCACTCTGTAGTCATTTTAACAGAGGGTAAGTGTTTACTATTGTGATGTGCCATTCACATCTTTTAACAGAATGTAGGGCACTTAATCTCTGCCTCTCACCAAGTAACTGTTGGTTCTTGTGTGTCTCCCCAGGGAGGGTCTTTCATCACCCACTGGAGTCTTCATTGAGTACCCTCTGTGTCCAACCATCCTCTGTGTTGGAAATACAGAAGGAAACAAAATAACACATCTGTTCTGATGGAGTTCACAGTCAAGTATGGGAAACAGGCAAAGTATATTTTAGAGAAACGTCAGAGACTGGTAGGTGACGTGGAATAAAAGCAGGAAACAGGCCAGAAAGACCAGTTGAAGAAGTCCTGCCTTACTCATTAATATCTAGGTATAAATTTAACAGAGATGAGAAGCAGAGACATGCTGAAAAGTAGAAAAAGAGAACCGTTGTGAACCGTAGCATGGCACGAACCAAATAATTATTGGCGAATTATTGCTAAGCTCACCAGCAAACAGAAAAACATCAAGTACAGAGGACATTCTGCTGAGAATGCCTTCTTAAGGCCAGTGCAATCTGCAATCGCTCATCAGTCTCTCCCTTCTATAACTATGTAGCATCCAATTTTGAAGTCATGTTGCCTTATATTACAAGTATCTGTGTACAGGTATTAGCTTCCTCAGATTCTGGAGAACTCAAGTCAGAGTTTTAAAATATAGTTTTCCGTTCGTCACATTATCATTTAGTGCTAAGACTGGTCCCGATTGCAGAACTGAATAACTTCTACTTAGATGAGATTAGCAAAATACTCACAGGGGCAGCAACCTGCTCTCACTCCCACCAGAGACTTTAGTAGTATAAGAAGAATACTCTCCCTCCAGGAAAGTCTATTAGGAGACGCTGCAGTAAGCATTTTCCTAATTATCCTTTATAATGCTATCCCGTGGGTCTCTAATTTTTGAAGGTTAGTCAACTTCTCAAGGGAATTTCTGAATTCTAAATAGATACAGCAATCGCTAGAGCTTGGGATGAAAGCACAGGGATTTATTTGATGTGGGGGTGATTTCAGGGGTTGCTAGTAAGGCCACACCCTATCATTATCCACTTTTCCTGTCCCCTCAAAGTGCTCCGCCCTTCATTAGTTAAGCGCCGGTAACTTTCTCTGCTCTCTTCAAAGAGCAAAGAAGCGCCCAAAACATGACGGGAATTTAGAATTGTTTATAGAAAAATCCTAACAACTCCTCTCCTCACTATCAAGGGTGCCAACAGTCAAGAAATCAGAAGCGCAATAGTATGCCCTTAGCAGCAATCTGTCGCCAAACCAGTGCGTGAACAAACCATAGGATCTCCGGATTTGCTAAGTCTTCTGTAGCATCAAGCAAGAGCATAAAGTCCCTTCTATCTCACCAAGAACACCCCCAGGACGAGGCTGGAAGATCTGTTTGGAAGGCAGAATTAGGCTTTGAAGAGGTAAAGTTATCTCCCAAGTCACTCCAAAGGTTTGATGAATTTTGGCTCCTGATGCCGGTCCACCACGTTCTTCACGTGCCCCATCAACTCCCTTCTACCCTCTTCAACTCCAACCCAATCGGGGAAAATTTCCTCTTACCTGCTCACAACGTCTCGAGGCTTGCACTCACTGTGCAGCCGAGGTGGCAGGAGTGCCTGCAGCCGCACCAGCTAGGAGCTGCGGATTCCACCTCTCCAGCAGCGACCACGGTACTGCACGCGGCCACCGCGCTCTGTGAGCCCACTAGGAGCCACGCCCACTGCTGGCTAGGCCACGCCCCCGGCGTGGAGCTTTTTAGCCCTTGGCAGGCGCCGTAGTCCGCCTCCAACTGGCTGGGCCTCACTCTGGGCTGCGGCAGCGAGTGAGCTGCTCCCGCTGCCCGTGTGGGGGCGGTCCTGGCGCTTCCCACGCATCACCCAGCCTCTGCAGCAGAACCCCGGAGCAGGGCAGTGTCGCCCGGTATCCGCCCCGCTGCAGCGGCCTGCGTTACTGCCTCGGTGCTGCGGCAGCCTGGGGTGCAGCCTTTGCACTCTGCGGACCGGGAGCAGGCGATCTGGGCAGCGTCGCCGCGGCCTACCCGCGCTCCTTTCCGCATCCCCGCCCCTCGTTCCCGCCTCCTCCGGGGCTGAGTGGAGTACGCCGCACACTGCGGCAGCGCCGGGTCGGGACTGCCCGTGGGAGGCACACCCACCTCTCCCGGCCGCACCCCTGCGCTGCAGCATGTCCGCGCTCGAGTGGTACGCCCACAAGTCTCTGGGCGATGGCATCTTCTGGATTCAGGAACGTTTCTACGAGTCAGGCAACCGCGCCAACATCTGGCTGGTGCGCGGCTCGGAGCAGGACGTGGTGATCGACACCGGCCTGGGACTGCGCAGCCTCCCCGAGTACCTCTACTCCTCCGGCCTCTTGCAGGACTGCGGGGCTAAGGAGGATGCGGGGCGCCGGCCGCTGCTGGCCGTGGCCACTCACGTGCACTTCGATCACTCTGGCGGTCTCTACCAGTTCGACCAGGTGGCTGTGCACCGCGCCGAGGCCGAGGCCCTGGCTCGAGGGGACAACTTTGAGACCGTGACCTGGCTCTCTGACAGCGAGGTGGTGCGGGCCCCCAGCCCTGGCTGGAGGGCCAGGCAGTTTCGAGTGCAGGCAGTGCAGCCGACCCTCATTCTGCAGGATGGTAATGGACCCCCGTGGGCGCGCGCTGTCGCGGAGGGAGGGACTTGGAAAGCGTGGGCAGCATGTTGCAGATCTCCGTGGCCACCTTGGCAAATTTGGGGTACAGTGCGGGAACAGTGTGTCTCACCCTTTGCTGCGTGAAAGGCGGTTTGAGCAGAGCCAAGGCCCTGGCATCCTGCTCTGCCCAAGACGCCCTCTGCAACTGTGTGGCTGTCTCTCTAAAAGCTGGCACCACCCCCAATCAATTCTCTGCGTGGGCTACAATAGTAACACCGCAGAGACTTGTGACCGGGGATTTTTTTTCCTGTGGTTCCCTAGCACCGGACGAACATTTCCAGCTTTTGTAACGAGTAGGCTTTTAAGGAATGGCACCTTGAGAAGAGTGTTATGCTCTGGGCTTTGAGAAGTGCTGCTTCATCTGCTTGCTCACCACGGAGTGACTATGAGTCCCACCTGTAGGCTTAGAAAGCTGGAGAGCTGTGGTTCCAGTTACTTCATCTATCCTCACCTTCAGATGGGTTTGTTCCCTTATTATTGCTTCAGAAGAAGAAAGGAAGGCTTGATAGTGAACACAAACGTAGAAAAGTAGAATTATGACAAATATCCAGTCTGCATGAGAGCAAGGCCTAGGAAAAATCAATAAGGGAGTTGTTGGCGGTGGATGGGGTATGTGTGCTACGGCTGCTGCCTTCATTCTCTTTGGCCCCATGAAATTGGTAGATAGGGCAAAATAGAATAGGACCCCAGGCCCCTCTCCCCGTGCAGGAACTGCTGTAATTGGACTAATTAGTGACAACGGCAATACTTGGTATATTTCATATTTTCTTTTTTTAGGGTTTATTTTAAATTTTATCCACATAATGTTGTGAAGTGAGGCCAGAGACCCCTGATTAAATATCTTGCCTAGTGTCCACTGGGCAGTCATGGTCAAAGCTGGGACTTGAAGCAAGGCATAATAAAGGAAAGTAAACAGAATACGAGTAAATCCTATTCATGAGATGCATTATAACTGTGAGTAGATTATGGAAGTCACTTGTTCAGTGTTAATCATTTTAATTGCCTTCACACTCCTCTGTAATGTTTAAAAAAGTTGCATTAAAATGATGTTTACTAAGAAATAAACAATATGTAAATAAAATATTTTACAGAAAATTTCCAACAGGATATATGATATGAAAAACAAGGAAAATCTATTCCCTTAAATCCAACTAACAGGTCCCTTGATTAAAGCTTTAAGTCTGATGAATTCTCTTTTAAAAACTGCTTTAGAGAGGAGTCTACTTTGACAGTTTGAGATTTAAAATATACATTTACATTAGATAATTTTTATTACTATACTTCTTAAAACTGATGGTTTCAGGGGTAAAATTTTCCAAGCACTTGATGGGTAGTCAAAGTAAACTCTGGCACCCAGCCTAAAAATATTTACATTCTCTCAGTGTAGTAGCACAAATCTTTAATCCCAGCACCTGAGAAACAGAGGCAGGCAGATCTCTGTGAGTTTGAGGACAACCTGATCTACATAGTGAGTCCCAGAAAGAAAAAGAAAATAAATAACTTGAATGGTAAGTGGCACAAGCCTGTGATCCCAGCACTTAGGAGATTGGGGCAGGAAGCGAGGAGTTCAGAGCCTTTAAAAATTTTAAAATATCCTCTTTTTACACAGAGAAACTCTGTCTTTAAAAACAAAACATTTTACATTAATATTAAAAAGTATTAAATTGTTTAAACAAAAATATTTTATTTACTTTTTATTTTATTGCCCCCAATAGGAAGTCAAAGTAAAAGGACAGTAGGAATCACTGAGATGTCTTGGTAGGTAGACACTTTTCTGCTAAGCCTGCCAACCTGAGTTTAATCCCTGAATTCCACGTGGTAGAAGGCAAGAACCTACTCCAACAGGTTGACAGTCAGATATATAGCTTGACACATAAGCATGCCTGTGTATGCGAGCCTGTACAGGTTCACACAATTGTTTGCAATTTGTTTCTGAGACTGTAGGGATTATTGTTATATGGAAGAGACACTGACTGAATATCCTTCCTGTGATCTGCAAGACTGGTTAGACACTGGGATTATAGGGTGGTGGTTTCTTAGATCCCAGTTGGTGGTAGATCCTGATGTTTTGGGAGCTGGAAAAATACTGTAAACTATGGTTACAGTGGTGCTTTGAGCCTTGCTTTGAGGGCAACAGATGGCATTGTAGAAAGTCACTCCTCATTAAGATATAGATGCCTCACCCTATCCAGCATCTGATCTCTCATCTCAGGAATATTAATTTCCTGTCTTCTGAAGGATGCGGGATGCTAGTTGGGTATTAACATAGTTCAGATATCTCTAAGGTGATGTAAGATACTCATATTAAAAATTCATATGTATTTGCACATAACACATTCATATGCAGCTGTAACAGAACAGCTCTGGTTAGAATACAAGTGGGCAAAATCACTTACTACATTTCATTAAGTGAATTGATGATTCGCTGTCTTGGAGAAGCATAACTCTGCACTGTATCTCTAATGTAAAAGCTAAGTGAAGGTCGAAGAGGTTATCTGTCTCATCTAGTGCATTAGCCTTGACACAAGACAATTCCATGTACTAATAGTGAAATAGTATGCTTCTATGAGAGCAATAGACCTGAGATATACCCCAGGCATTATTTATTTATTTTTAAATTTTGCTTTTGGATCAATTTTTTCTCTTTATTATTATTATTTTTTTTTTTCTTATTTTACATATTGATCCCAGTTCCTTCTCCGTCCCTCCCTCTCTTCCACCTTCCCATGCCACCACACCCCACCCTCCCATCCCATTCCCCTCCCCACTCCACTGTAGAGTGATGCCTTCCAGGAGGGGTGATCTAAGTCTGTCAAGTCATTTGGAGTAGGGACTAGCCCCTCCCTCTTGCCTCTAGGCTAAGGGAGTATCCCTCCATGGGGGATGTGCTCCAAGTCCTTTTGTGCACCAGGGATACATCCTGGTTGCACTGTCAGAGGTCCCTTAGACTGCCCAGGCCTTCTAACTGAGACCCATGTTCAGGGGGTCTGAGTCAATACAATGCTGGTTTCTCAGCTATCAATCTGGGTGTCCATTAGCTCCCCCTTGTTCAGGTCAGCTGTCTCTATGTGTTTCTGCAGCCTGGTCTTGTCCTCCCTCACTGTATCTGTTCGGCTCAGTGTTTAGCTGTGGGTGTCTGCTTCTGTTTCCATCAGCTACTAGATGAGGGCTCTATGATGGTGGATAAGTTAGCCCTCAATCTCATTATCAGGGAAGGGCATTTATGGTAGGTAGCCTTTCCACTGTTGCTTAAATTTCTCTAGAGTCAGTTTTCTTTTGAAACCTATAATGGCTCTCTCTTTTATGTTCTCTCTCTCTCTCTCTCTCTCTCTCTCTCTCTCTCTCTCTCTCTCTCTCTCTCTCTCTCTCTGTCTCTTTCTCTCTCATCTATTCCTTCCCTGACTCAATCTTCCTAGTCCCATGTGCTTTTAGCCTAAGCATTTTAAACTAGAGCATATCACTGTCTGTTTTTCACAATATTTTAGTGGTTTAATTTCAAATAATTTGTCCCTTTGTCCTCCTTACCCCTATTTAAACAGTTGCTTAAAGTCACAAAGACACCAAGATAAATTACCTCAGAGTAGTGGTTTCAGGTAGACTTGACAATATTTATGACTGCGACCTCCTGGAACTGTGGGCATCTCTGTGACCACCAAAGCCAGTGAATTGTCCATCTGGGAGAAATAAGGCAGTTCTGTTTAACACAACCCAGTAGCAGGTGTTGGTTCAAACTTTGAGAGTCTGAAGTTCTAGTAGTTTATTCTAGGCATATTTAAGCACAACACAATTTGAAAAATCATTTCCTGGTAAAAATTAATTAAATTCTGTGTGCACAACGAAGCTTAAGAAATGACTACTTTGAAACTCTTGTGAAGCACAAGTGACATTTTCCTGTGGATTATGTTTTCTGTGGATTAACTAGGGAAACAGGCTCAAGATAAGCAAGCTCATGATAAAGGTCTAGGGGAGGATAGAGCTATAGATTGAGACTAAGGTGATCAAGATGAGGGTCTGGGGGAGCCAGTGTAGCCTGACCACACAGATAACATACATGTCTCTTTGAGAGGACACTATATTTTACATTCCTGCAAGGAACAACAGGCCTCCTACATGGAAGTAGCACTTCCATGGAGAGACTGACTTGAAGTCTAAATCTACATTGGTCAAGGGAACTAACCACCTTGGATGGTAGAAATTAGATGTGACTGAGTTCTGTCTTAAGAGTCAGTTCAGTTCACATCAGTGTGCCCGCAGTGGGAAGGAGGGGACACCCACCAGCACAGGTGTAATAGATTGTAAGCATTTAGTAGGTTCTTAAAAACAAATAGAGCCCTTCTGAAAGGAGTACCTTCCCCTGTTCAGTTAGCTCCTTCTCTAGGATGGGAAATAAAGGGTTGTCTTAATTGGGGAGTGCTCACTGTGGTTGAGCTCAGAGACTCAACATGGAGAAGAGGGGATGAGTGTGTGAGAGTGTTCATAACATCATGGAGAACTTTGAGTGTGTGAGAGTGTTCATATACATTTCTTACTAAATACTAAGAAGAATGAGAGCCAAGCCTCCTGTTGCCCACCTGGGGGTAGGAAATTAGGAAATTACAATCTGGGACATCTGACCCCATCAGAAAAGACTGAAGATGCCAGTATGGAGATGTTAGCCACCCCTGGCCTGCTGCCTCTACTGTTAGCCTGCTTCCAGAGACCCTATGTATATGCTTCAAGTGCTCCTTTCGTTTTGGCACTTCAGCCGGCAGCCAAGATTTTTGCCTGGGATAAGCCTGGTTTCCCAATCCCAATTGATGGTAAATCCTGTTGTTTTTGGTGCTGAAAAAGTATGTGGTGCTTTGAGCCATTGAAGATGTGAAAAGAAAGCTGGACCAAATACTTTGAGGGTGATAGGAAAGGTGCTTCTCATTAAGAGGTGGAGGCCTCTTGCTGGCAAAGTTT